ACTGCTGATCTTCATCGCAGCTATTTTCGTGACACATTGGAGGATCGCCACATTCATGGTGTAGAAAACATGGCAGAATCGGCTTCGTTCCCTCGGACCACCAATGTGTGGCAACAGGAAATTGACGAGATTGTCAATAATGCCGATTAATGTAGTAGCAGCGTGACCTCCGCATATATATACCAAATAAACAACTAATTATCCACACATTTACTGCCTGTTGTGCACGAAATTGTACGGCGGCAAGAGGAAATCCGGTCCAGAAAAATTGACCGACTTATGTGCGAACTGCTAATGTTACACGGAATCCGCACATATGTGTTGCGGACGTACGCTCGGGCGTGTTGCAGACGTGAACTCATACGGTCCGAACGATGTCGGAATACTCCTGATTTTCAGACGCACTGACTCTTGAGATCAGACGCGCGGCTTCTGCTCTCCGCGAGCGCTTTTCACCTGGTTATCACCCGTGCGCAAGTTGGCGGTGTACAGACAACAAACGAGCGACCACTCCAACAGCGCGTGCGCGCCACGCAACTCAGAGTGGAGCCTCTCGCCGGAAGCAGAATCCGATTTTACAGTAGACGATGACAATGCTTCTGATACCTCCTGCACCGATTACGACTCAGCCTACTCGTCGTGCGCGACATATGGCTCCGGCTCCTTGAGCTATACACAGGGCTCGTCCCAATTCACCAGTAACACCGCGCCAGACACGTACAGCGCAACCCGGCGCACGGTAACTACTTTCGAAGACGCCCCAGCGACGCAGCTGGTAGCAGGTGCGAGCGCGAGCAGGGGACGCGTGGCCGCACACGCGAGTATGCTCTGGGGTTTTCTGGAGTCGCTGAACCGGGACCTGCGGCGCATCGAGTTCGCGCGCGACACGCAAGTGTATGTCCTCGGCCGCACACCGGCAGAGTGCGATGTCGTCCTCAGGGACCTGCGGATCATTAAATTCTCTTGCAAGCCTGAGGTCTCGAGTGGCGTGCCGACAATGGCCGATGCAGGTGGCAGACACTGCACAGTTCGTTGGAAAAGTTGTTAAAATTTTCCTACACATCTGGACTAATGTGGTAAGTTCGGCGAGGAGGACAATGTACACTATCGCATGCGCATTATTCTACGAAAATCCCACAGCCTAGGGAGTTTGTCGTGGAGTTTTATCAGAAGAATTTGACTGTCAGGCACGAAGTGAATATCTATGAGGTATCCGTCAGCCACAGAATTTGCAACGAGTGTCCCCAGACTTCGCGTCAAATACTTTCAGCTCGCCGCCCCACTCGCCGAGGACAATGAAATCCCCACCCGGAGAGTATGCCGCGCAGCGTGCTTGGTCCGATAATGCGAAGACACGGCGTAGCTGGCCCGTCCGCGAGTCGTAGGCAACAACGTTCTTGTCCTGCGGACAGGACACCAACACCTCGGCGTCGTCTAAGGACAAGATCACGGGATAAAAGAGATTGCGCCTGTGGTTGATTGTGAGAAGTTCTTCGCCGGTCGTTACACTCCAGATTTTGAGTTCACCACCCGAGGCCGTGGCTATACGATCTCCCCGGCGAGACACTGAGCAGAAGTGCTCCTCTTCAGTATCATGCTCTAGCGTTGCGATGTGGGCATATGCTTGGGTATCATAGAGGAGGCAAGAGGTGGGATGCTCAATGCAAAGACGGGAGAAGTTCGAGGAAAATACAAGCCCGGTTATTCCTCCACTGACAATGAAGGAGTGCAGACATGCCCCAGTCAAAGCGTCCCAGATCTTTATGAACGAGTCGAAGGAAGCAGTAGCAATGAATAGGCCATGGGGGGCATACATGACAGTGTCTACTGGTTCACTGTGTCCTTCCAAACATAGAAGAACACCGCCACTCCGAATGTCCCAGACGATTGCACTCTTGTCTTCAGATCCCGAAACGACGGCTTGACTATTGGGAGAAAACGACAGGGATCTAACTGCATCTGTATGGACCTGACGTTGTAGGCGTTGAACCAAAAGACCATCGGAGAGTCGCCATATTAGGACATCGCCAGTGCCGAACAGAAGCATGCCGTCGTTTGACAGGGTGAAGCACCGACGTACTTTGGCTGGATCGTGAGAATCGGCGAAGACAGTATGCTTCAAATTCATGGGCTGAGCCTCTTCTTCCGAGGTCCCGATGAAAACGTGCCCGTTACCCAAGCAACTGACGCCGTCGATGGTGATGTTTCGCCATTGCGCCAAGTCAGGCTCAGTAACGGTACGACGTGCGACGGCGCGCACTCTCTCATTCGATATCACGTCTTCCATGCACAGCGAGCCGACTACGCGAAAGGTCGCCACGCTTAGCCACAGATACCGCGAGATGATGAGAGAGACTCACGTGTGCCATCGATGTTCACCGGAGGTTGTACTTGACGAAGGTGGCTTGCAAAATCAACTACCCGCTTCTCGTCCTAGACACAGATCAGTCTTTGCATTTACATCAGGCATTGCACACGACGCGTACGGCGATGCATTGCACATCGTCATCACCTGCAATTGCAGTCTCGACACCAGATGTCTGTTGTCACAGGTATAACGATTAGCGTGGCAAATAGCACCCAGCGTAAGTAGACATACTTCTAATATGTAGTCGAGAAGAACATCCAGCGGATCGGGAATCTCGTCCTGAGGCCTCATTAGCATGTATTCCCCGAAAGACATTGCGACTAATCACATACCTCGCCTCCAATCTCTACCAACCTTGTTTCGTCCACATCCTCGATCCCCCACCCCAACATCTCTCCCTCTTCCGGGCTGCCTCTCGTACCTCGCAGACCCTGAAGCTGGTGGTAGCCTGCGCCGGCTTTTCGTGGAAGTACTGATCGCCTTCGCATCTTGTATCGGCCTAAGAAGATACTGATCCGTATTTGCGTTCCCCGACTCACACCTGCTGCGCCGATGCACCTCCGGTTCCGTCACAGAGCTCGCGGGCAGCCTGTTAGCTTCGGCGCCCGCAGCGTCGCCGACATGGCCCCTGAGGGAGCCGTTGAGGCTCGCGTTCGGGCTCGTGTTGCTGAACACAGCCGCCGCCCAGTCAGCCTTCGTCTTGACCCAACCGCTGACTACGACAATCTCTTCCTGCTTGATGTCTTGGCTCAGGTCGTCCTTAACATACGCCCACCATTTGTCGTGGTTCTCGGCGATATATCTCTTGAGATCATGGCTTTCGAATATCGTCTCTACATGTGCTTCACTTTTGAGCGCGAATACGGCGCCTTGCTCAGCCTTACATGCATACTCGGCACTGAATGTCGCGGATATATCTGCATCTGCCGCTCTGCAACCCGTTAACATGAAGGTGTTCCTCGAACCAGCTATTTCGCTCACATATTTGTCGAGGCATAGCTGCCCTTGCGTTTAACTCCATAGCTACAATAATGGCCGGGGGCGAGTGGACGAGGTCTCGGATCGATTTGAAGCGCGTTTGGGGGCAAAGGTTCCACATCTTCGAATGGTATCGGCCAAAATGTGACCTTCTTGTCGGGTGCAGAGCCGTCTAGGTTGAAAAGACGGATGAACGCTCCGTCGCGTACGTAGCCCACGTCGCCTATCTGCGGCTCTCCAGATTCATGTGGTTCGGGGTGCCAAAGTGCGTGACCAAGGTAAAGTGTCTGAAGGCCGGATAGATATATTTCGTCCGAGGCTGGCGATCGACGAAAGAGGCGGAACATAAGAGAGAGGCAAGATTGGTGGGATGCAGTACCAGGTGGTAGAGCAGCTATGGACTGTTGAAGAAAAGGATCGTTGCGGGGTCTATGCTTTAGGTACGAACAGCGCAATCGACGCGACGGGCACCTGCATATTTAAGCATGTCCTAGAACCCCTTGGAATCTACTCAGAGGTGTGTGAAACTGTAACGATTGCTGCGCAATGCCTTTTCGGAGGCTGGATATTGGCGAATGCCCGGCCAGTCACTTGCGAGCGTACGAACAAATACGTGTAAGCAACGTGCGCTACTGCTTGCCAGGGACTTAGACCGCTTTCCGTGGCATGATGGTAACGACCTCTGGTGGTATTAGATGAAAAATCTCAAGTGAATATATTCAACTCGGTGAAGTCTTGGACTGCACCGATTGCAGGAGGCGTGGATGATGCATTCAAATGATGAGTCGACCACCGGGGGAGATCAAGTACTCCTCGGGCTGATTTGAAGCCCAGGCTCCACCTCTCCCAATGGCCCGCTAGCGTCGTGGCAGCACTGCAGGTAGAGTTCAAGATGCGCTGACCTCTAAAACACAGGTGTCCCACGATGCATATTCTGTACGGCACCGCGGTCGTCGCATGCGCCGGTAGTGTTGTGGCGTACGTAGTAGTACTCGAACTTAGCTTTCGGGGTGAGCCATCCGCTGGTGCGGGCGCGAGGACGAGGCATCGAGTGTTACGCTCACAGATAGTAGCCGCAACGGGACATTCGTACGTATGCTTTTTTGCTGTGACTGAAGGCGAGAAGCTCATTGCGGCAGGTTGACGGGCGGCGCCTAGACAGGAAGGCGTATAAGATATGTCGCAAATTTCCGTTTACCCTCATGAGGGAGACGCCCCAAGATTGCGTCAAAATCGTATCAAAACCGCCTCATGAGGCAATCATCAGGCCAATCTCGTGTCATGATACATATCACGATGCCCTAACGAGGCTTGTGGGAGAAAAGATCGCTATTGATGCATCATGATTCTGGGAAAATATCTGCGACATCTTTTACTATTACGCTTATAGACGGCGATGAGGTCGCATTTGCCGACCTTGACGAGCCTATGGGCGCTGTTGAGCCAGGCCACCAGGATAATCGTGCGTGGTTACGGCCTTTCAAGTGCCAGTGTGCGAGTTTGCTCACGGTGTGGTATTCCGACAGATTATGTATTCTGGCATATTGCAAGCCTGATGGCGATACACAACAGTCAATCGACCCTGCCAGAAAGGCGGTTCCAGAACACTTCCCCTTAGTCTGGCCGATATCATATCTTGGAAGTATACTTGTTTGCTATCCTTATCTATGCCTACATGAGAGAATTGTTCACGGAATGCACTGCAATACTTCCAATTACGAGGCATAACTTGCTGCAGCGTTCAGATAGTACATAGTGGGCATGTCATTATTTTTTGGAAGAATCTTTGCTAGCGAATATCTCTGCTCCGAATCCTTCCCACGCGCACTGTCAATAGCCAGCGGATCTGATTTTTGATTATGAAAGTAAGTAAACTTTGATATTGCATCAATTCATATTTTAGACTTTCTTTGTCACTTCCCTTAAGTATTGGCACTTACACTAGCCGCGAATATTTAATTTCTTCCACAACATTAGCTCTCTTGCTCAATTCGATTCTTGCCGCTGCTGGTACTGTCTTGTCCCAGTCGGTGTCGCGCCACTCGTCTCTGCCATCGGTAATCTCGTCTGCGGCGCCGAAGATAAAAGCGGCCGACGTACTCGTGCTCGTTATCGGCCAAAATATACGCGCAAAACGAACCAAGTACGAAGAACAACCTCGGTGTCTTGACCGCCTGAGATCCATTAGTTACAGCCCTTCATAGCCTTGTGGAGGAAAACAAAGCCAGCTGTCTACAACGTGGGGCCGTGGAAAAATCTGGTACATATCTTTGAACTTTAGAATCCAAGTACGGACCTCTCCTAGACGCTGTTCCTCCGCCCCCCATCTCACCTCTTTCCCAACCACATCCTTTCATCATGCAGCGACCAGACTACTTCGATAACGAGATGGCTCTCGACCCATATCCCGCGACCCAGGTCGACTCCCAGCAGGCAACACAGCTCTCCGAGCCCGCCAGCCAGCGACCGCCCGAGACACATCTCTGGGGCTACCTCGTACCGTGCAGCCCCCAGCAGCGGCGGATAGACTTCAGCAGGGACAAACGCGAGTACAAGGTTGGCCGCAACCGCGACGAGTACATTGGGAACGATCACGTCCTGTCGGGCATGAAGATCAGTCAGTCTTTGTTCGCGTCTTTGATTCCGCTGCGCGTTGTGGCGTCGTACGCACCTTGCGCGACCATGACCGCGAGGGCCTGGCAGAGGTGCTGACGCGACACGCAGGCAATCAGCACTGCGAGATCAAGTGGGATGGACGCGACGACAAGAACTCAACAATCACCGTTTGTGACCACTCGAGCAACGGCACCTTTGTGAGTGCATGTCGACCAACTTGTCTCTCCCATACTCTTCTGAACCCGCTCTTCCCGACAGATCAACGGCGAGAAGATTGGCAAAGGCCGCTTCTCGATACTCAAAGAAGGCAACGAGATCGCGTTCGGTACATACCAGCCAAATCCTGGCACCGCGGAAGACTATCGTGCGTGCCTGAACGCCTCTGTTCAATGCCCAGTGCTCACATGCAGATCTTAGGCTTCATTTACCGCCACCTCGCAGCAGGTCCGCCTGTCGAGGGCTTGTATGCGCACTACGATATAACGGAGGAGCTGGGCAAGGGTTCATTCGCAACGGTGATGAAGGCCATGTGCAAGGAGAACGGGCATTGGTACGCGGTGAAGATGATCCAGACGAAGAACCTCAAGCGGTCAATGACAAAGCAGCATCCCAACGGCGACCGCGTCACCGTCGACGCGTCGATAGCACTCCATAAGGAAGTCCAGATCCTTCAAAAGCTCCGGCACCAGAACATTTGTCAGCTGAAAGAGGTCTTTTACGACCAGAACTACGTCCGTAAGTTCTCTCATCGGGCTGACGTGACTCAAATTGCTGACGCGCTTCCGTAGACATCGTTTTAGAGTGGGTCGCTGGTGGCGATCTGTTAGAGTATATCCTCAAGCGCGGCGGCCTCCGTAAGTGCCTACCTATTGAGACTTGTCTAGTTCGGCTGACACCACTTGTAGCCGAGGACGAGGCGCAGTATATCACCTATCAACTATGCAAGGCCTTAGCTGTGAGTATCGCAACTTTTCGCCTGCTGCGGGCATCTGACAGCTCTGCAGTACATTCATAGCCAAGGCATCGCGCATCGCGATCTGAAACCCGAAAACGTCCTGCTCACGACGGATAACCCCCCGATAGTCAAGGTGGCCGACTTTGGACTGGCCAAGGCCATCGACAGTTTGACGATGCTCCGAGTGCGTCACTAGTCCTGTGCTGCCCTTATGTGACTCACGCGCGTGCAGACAATGTGTGGCACCCCAAGTTACCTGGCGCCCGAGGTTGTTCAACAGAACGGCAATGAAGGTTACCAGCAGGTCGTCGATAGCTGGTCGGTCGGCGTAATCGTCTTTTCGATGTACGTCTCGCCACCCTTGCACACTCGAGCCCATTGCTGACGTGCATTTAGGCTTACAAACGCGAGCCCATTCATTGAGCCGAGCTACACATCAGACGTAAAGACAAAGATCCTCGAGCGAACCGTCGACTGGAGTCTCCTCAACACGTACCACGTCTCGGCTGTCGCGCGCGATTTCATCCAGCGGCTACTTGAACCTGATCCTGAGATGCGACTCACGCTGACCGACGCACTCAGTCACGACTGGCTTGCGCCGTACGAGGCGGACGTACGCACAAAGCGCGAACGCACCGCGACGCCGCCGCTAGCGCCTCTACCGGAACCGTTGCGCGACGTGTCCATGGCAGACGCCGAGCGCGAGGACCCGGAGCTCGCGTCGTCGCAGACGAGTTCGCAGTACCCCGTGCCCGGCGCGTTCCCGAGCGGCTCGCAGCAGCAGCAGGACCCGACGCGCGCGCTGCAGCGCCGGCGCAAGATCCTGGACGACGCGAAGGAGAAGGGCATCCAGCCGCCGGAACCGTCCGTCGAGATGGTCGCGAACGCGGCGCGCGACGACGACGAGCCGGTCGCACAGCAGCAGCAACGCAGACAGCGGCCGCTGAAGCGCAAGGCCGGAGACGGGTCCGAGTCGTCGTTGAGCCCGATGCCGGAGGATGAGGAGGACGCAGATGAGGGCGAGCAGGAGCCGGGGCCGAGCGCACGAAAGAGTAAGGCGAGTGCGAATGGGACGCCGGCGCGGAGAGGGCCGAAGGCAGGGCGTGGGCGTGGGGGTAAGGCGATCGTGAATGGTGAGGACGAGATGCGCGTACGGCGGTCGAACCGTCTGGGTCAAGTCCGTGCGTAGTGTGGACAATTGACATCTTGTTTATCAAGGGACAACTGTCTTGTTTGTTTGTCTTGTAGGGTGTTTCTTGCCTCTGTTTTTTGTGTGCTTCTATGAACAGTATATAATACAATACAATATTTACTTGGATTACTGCGGAATTGTGTGCATATTCAATATGATGTAGGATGGTGCAAGCGATGTGGGATGATGCAAGTGAGTGGATGGATGGATGGACTGTACAGCAGGGAGTGGGGAGTAGGCAACGGTGAGTGATGAGAGCAGTCAAGAAAGTAAAGACGAGCACAGCATTTGGAAAGCAAGAAGAACAAGAACACACAAGCAGCACTCACTCCACCCAAGTCTACTTAGAAATGACTGACCCAGCAGCCGCCTCGACTCGGACTTGTGCAGGCTTACGCGGGCGTTCTCCGCGGTGGGACTTCTCGGGGAAATAACAGACCAGGTCGCGCTGCAGACATGGCCTTACAACAAGAAAGTTAGTCTGCGCATACCAGAGACGTATCCTCAGAGAACGCTTACGTGCAGCTGGATGAACCTGTCGCAGGCCCGCCGCAGCGGATGTGTCGTCCGCGGCAGAAATAGCACGCTAGATTTGTGGCGTTCGAGCCCTTACCCTTCTTTGATTTCTTTCTGCTTCGTGTACCTTCTTTCGGTGATTCTAAGGTCTGTGTTTGCTCCTGCTGAGGCCTGGGCAATATGACAGTACCTGGGTCATCGGCGGCGTAGTCGGGTCCGAGCGCGGCGGGCGAGATGATCATCGGGCTTGATCGACGCCAACTCGGGACAGCGGCAGGCACGGTCACGAGCGGAGCGAAGCGGTCATTGTTAAGCCCGAGTGTGTATATACCTACAGAGCATTAGCAAAATCTCATAGCATGTAGTATACTTGTGTAATTACCTGGTGTGTAGAGCAGATCTGCAGATGTTGTAGGTGGCACATATGGTTCTGCCCAATAATAAGGCGGCACAAAAGGCAGCTCGGTCGACTGCAAATGATATGGGTGCTGAGAGTCAGGTGGTGAGCCAGACCAGACAACGTCCTACCAAAGCGATGAGGTATCAGCATTGAACTACTACAACACAATGTCAATATTGGTGTTTAAACTTGCCTGAGCTGCAGTGCTATGCAATCCAAGAGAGGGTAAATTATCTATTTCTCCGAACTGCTGACCCATTAAAGTGTAGGTGCCACCCAAAATTATGTCGTCATATTCAGCTGGCCTGAAGGGGTTTGTGTAGCTGCGCCAACCATTAAAATCACTAGGCTGCGCCTCGACTTCTTGCATGGACATGCAGGCTGAAAACTCTGTTGGATTCATGCTTGAATGATACGTAGCAGCACGTTGAGGGTCTGTACTGTGCTCCATGGACAACCAGTGGGTGGGTAGGGTAGGGTGTGTAAAGCTAAGTCACTGACAAGCACTCCGTGGCACTAGTACTATATTAAGTTGAGTCGCTGTAATTCACGGGGCTCACTCCGGGCAATAGGTGATTGGCGTTGGCCCGCCGCGCATCGTCGTTAGCACTTCGCTTCCCTGGATGCTGCGGCACTGTGCCGGCATCCTGTGCACGCGACCCTGAGGGGATCTGAGGTGGGTAATATGATGTCACTGGCATTGCTACACTCTACAAAAACAAAGCTAGTCTCCCTAGAATGTGAACAAGAACTCCATGTCCGCTACAATTGGAAGGTCTGACTGTGACGCAGTTGCCGTTACAGCCTTCGGGATAGGCTCCACCAGTTTCGTGGTGGTAGCAGGCTTTGCTGACGTAGATCGGACCATAGGTTTCAAGCTAGTATGCGCTGCTGTCGAGCGCGACGAGGCCGCACGCGCCGGCTGGACACGTCGTGCGTTGGTCCCAGCGGTAGCTGTTGAGGTAATAGAATGTTTCTCTATCGATATAATAGACGACGACCGCGTTACCCTGTGGGTGGTTGGTGGTGTTGGCGTCAGAGCTGAATGGCTTTGTAAGGAACTCCGTGAGTCTGGTCGCGCCAGCGTGCCACCAGATCTTGAATCAGGTTGTGGATTACTTCCAACGGACGGCGTACGAGTTCGCTTCGACACAGCAGATTGTTTCGCTGCCGCTATATCTCGTTCCGCGGCAGCGAAAGGGTCATCGTCGTCTGTCTCCGGTAAATATATCTCTGAGTATTAGTGATGCAACATAGCTCACCCGTGTCATACATTTCCAGAGTGGACAGCTCGAAAGCCCCGCTATCCGTGAGCAATTGGGGCACATCGATTTGTGATTCAATGTCCTGGGTGTAGTAGACATCGGCCGAGTCATCCACGCGTTCGCCATGCGCGACTCGAAGAAGAGCGCGGCCAAGAGTCTTATAGTCTGGCATGTCGAACGGTGGTACCCACGGCTGTTCTATAGTTTTGCAAGCGAAGAAGAAACCTTTGAGTTTAGTCCTGTTAGACGAAATCGCAGCAGAATACGTACCAGGAACTTTCGGGGGCATGTATTCAATATCGTCGTCTTCTTCTGCGCCAGTGTTCAGCGCTGGATCCCCGCCCGCAACAGATTCGCCAAGGCTGTCTCCTTCGCCTATGCTAAGCTCCAAGTCGCCATCGCTGACGTCCCAGTAGTTGCCCTTCGTCGCAGGCGTTTTCAGGCTCTTGCTTATCGCGCTCGGCAGGCGCAAGCTCTTGCGGCGGCGCGTCGCAGACGGAAGCAGCAAGCACTCCGGCGTTTGTGCGAGCATCTCCGGGGCTTCATCCTGCACCTCAAGCAAGAGTTTCGCCGCCTGCGGCTTCGGCGTGCGCAGCTGCTGGGCGGGTGCGTACTGTCGATTCGGGAACGGAGTCTTGTCGCCCAACGGGCGGGAGGCGTGTAGGGAGGATGTGGCTGTGCTCTTAAGCTTAACGGCTGTCTGCGGGGCCTTGCGTGCGTCTGGAGGCCCGCGGGCGAGGTCAGGAATCGTCGTGAGGATGTATCTGCAGTATGGGCTTACGATTGAACGGCGTGTGCAGCGCGTTATTCCCTTTAGCTTTCACAGTCATGGAGCCGTTATACATCGCATTCTCGCGAAGTCCTCCGGTACGCTGCTTCAAGAGAGCTTTGGCCGGTGTGCGGGCGTGCGCGAGGTTGGTCGACAAGGCCTCGTCGTTCAGAGGAATCTGGAGGGGCCGTGAGCTGAGCATTACGCGTAATATTCACCTTTGTGTAGGAAATGAGCGAGAGAGAAAGGGGCGTCGCGGTAGTGCACGTCGTGCGAGATGGTAGTGTAGAGGATGAACGCGTATGTTCATCACACGCGGCCGCTTTTGTCCTGATGGCGCATCAGCTGACGCGCTCATCTCCCTATCCAAAGAAAAGAACACGAGCTCCCGCCAGGAGTGCCATCTGTCGTTCGCAAGCCAGTCGCGCATTCGCTATAACTTATAGGTATATCCAGCTCAAGATTCATCAGCAAAACTCGGCAGCATGCATATGTTCGCAACGAGGTGAATAATTCCGGGTCCATAAGATAGCTATACAAAGCAGGTGTCGACAGCATGGATAAGTGGTGAGATGTGAGGGGAGCAGTAAGTACTTTTAAAGTTGCAAGCGGTTCTAGATATAGGCTGTGGGGAGCGGCCAAATGCGCTAGCGTAGAATAGCGGGTTGTGTCGAAGCTACGGACCCTGGGAAGGGTTTTCAGCTTCTTAAACATACTTGGAGAACATCGGGATGAGGGTCTGCGCAAGGGTGTAAGAGAAGACGAGCTTAGGACCGACAACCAGGATCTAGAGCATGATTATGAGTCGAGGAACGGATGTGCAGACAGCACCTTGCATACCTTAGGGGTTAGACCCTTGAATAGCGCAGTGGGACCCTCGTTCTTGACCAAATCCTTGACCACAGTCATACCGCTGACCTTAGTCTCGAAGTTGGCATTTTGGATACGGGTCTTGATCGTATCGAGGGGTGCCGCAACACTAATGGACGCGACAGCACCGGCGATCGAAGCAACAAAATTCTGTACCCAGGTCGCCTTATGGTAGTCGTCGAGGTTGAACAAGTAGTCCTTGGTTAAGGCAGAAGCACCAAAAAGCTGAGGCAATATTAGCAATCGTATCGCGCCGTGATGAGCGGGCATACGTACAGCAAAACTTCCCGGTGCATTGCGGGCCATGGTCCATCCCCAGCCACGGTAAAGCGTCGTGCCTTCCTCGAGGAAGATCCGCACGACGCCACGTCCACGGAAAGCTTCGGGATTCACCTGCCTCTTAATTTTGAGGGCATCCAATGGCAGAAGGACCTATGAAGAAGTCAAACATGAGCGCAAGTCGCGTTTGACACGCAGCAAACACGACCTACGACTTCGCCAATACCAGTCATACTGAGCAACATGCATGTTAGCTGGTGTAGAGATGTAAACTAAACGCGACACGAACCTGCCAGCAAGAGCTTGGGTCATTAGTTTGCCTTTCCTCTCACCAAACGTGTTTGTGAACTGAGTCTTGTAGTTCCTCGTAATAATATCGCTGAACCATGGTTGGCCGCCGTACTTGTAAATACGCTGTGTAACCTTATAACCAGCAGCGTAGCCAAGACCAGGGAAGAGCGACAGTAAACGCCTTCCAAGGGGCGCAGTCGCGTGTTCGCGGAAGATAATTGGCGAAAGCGTCGAAAAGGAGACCTACGGGAGGTCTCCTCGGTCAGAACTGCTCTGAGATGTCTCAGTGCATGACACACCTTCGACTTGTTGCTCATCAACCGCTTAGTAATAGTATCCACAGGGTGAAAGACGACTAGCTCAGCAACGCCTACAGTGCTTCGTTCAACCTCATACGACCCCAATACTCGAGTACAATATACTCACCCGACAATCCCGAGCCGAGAATGCGAGCGGCGCCGGACTCTGCACCCTTAACGTTGAGAGTGGGGGACATGGTGTTCAGTTGCAAGCCTGAGGGTCGACAAGACTCGAAGAACACGAGAGCTAGGAGGAAAGGGCGTTGGCCGCAAGACTGCCTGCCGAAAGTTTGAGAGCTAACGTCAAGTAGACGCCCGGTTCGCTTAGGAAGTTCAGTTTCTGATCAACTCGCGAGCTGAACCGAGCGCGACGCGACGCCCACCACGCCGCATCCGTCCTCTCATCTGCAAAGCCGTGTGGACATCTGTCACAAAATGTACGCAGTCATTATGCCCTGTGTCTTATTTTGCTCTAAAATTCTACGCAGATAACTTCAGACGCCCCAGACATGATCAAGATTGGTTTCGATCTGGACGCGGACTTCGCCACGTCCTTGTGCAGCCTCGACAAGGCGGACGAAGTAATACAACAGCTCAATAGCTGTTTGACACGAGTCAAGCGCCACAGAAATACTCTTCTTCCTATCGCGCGCCTCCCTCAAGACGTGTTGGCCGAGATTTTTAGCCAGCTCGTTCGTACCCACGACCTTCGCGGCACAGCAAAGTTTCGAGGAGCGGAAGACTATCCACATAGATGGATTTATGCCACTCATGTATGCCATACCTGGCGTGCTTTGTGCCTCTCCTGCTCCAACCTCTGGACACGTGTCATACTGTCACATCCTGAGCGCACTCAGGCATTTCTTCAGCGCTCTCGAGGATGCCCTATCGCACTCGAAGCAAAGATCGGAATCTTTTGGATGACGCCGGAAGCAGACATGATATTGGACAACAGCCACAGACTTTGCTTGATCGATAACCTCAAGACTTCCCGATCCCTAGTAGATACCCTGGGCTGCGCACAATCAAACGGACTCCATCTACCGCTATTAGAGTACCTCCGTGCTCGCAGCTACGCCGTCCCAGATTTCCCTGCGCTATCCGCAGCATATATGCCTCGCCTTCGGCAGCTCCATTGCATATGCTTCTCGTTTACTCTCATGCGGAGCTGTCTACGACCCACTGTGAAGGAGTTGCATTTCAGAAAAGGGGGACGCACACCATTGACGGATTGGCTCGATTTGCTATCCAGTATGCCGCAGTTAGAGCGGCTGTTTATTCAAAATGCAATGGTTCCCTTGGATATCCCGCTGGACGGAACGCGCCCTCCACAGCGTCGCATCGACCTTCCCAACTTGCAGTGGCTCAAGCTTGAGGAGCTGGACAACGAAAAATTCACCCCATACGCCTATCTACTCGCCCACATGAGCTATCCCAGTGACACATATATCTCTTTGAAGTCGAGCGATTATCGACAGTCTTGGCTCGCCGACTATACCTTCGTAGTGTCCCATGCCGCGCCATGCCGCTCAACAGTGATGACCGGACAGCAAGAATTCTCTTCTGCCAAACTACTAATCGAGCCTAATGTGAGGCCCAACAATCTGCGCTTGCGGTTTTCCGCGACGCGGATGGCTGCCAGTAACAAGGACACGCCGGAAGAGGCGATTGTCCTCGATTTCACGGTCCCTGCCTCGGCCGTCGCTCAGACTAATACCGAGCTGTACAAGCATCTCCGCTCCCTCTCCCTTCCCTTCGGGGTNACAGAGCTCCAAGTTGCCGAACTACCCGCCTCTTCGGACTCCTGGTTTGGTACTATGCGAGAAGCAGACATTCTCGACAGCGTCATCACACTTCAGGTCTCCGCTAAGGAGCTCTCTGCACTCGTCTCAGCCTTGGAGGACTCTACGCAGAATGGGGCCGCCGCTTCGCTCTTACCGAGGTGGCAGTTCCTTAGACTCACACGCTGTAAAAGCCGAGAGTTTGGGACTCGTGCGAGCGAGAAGCCTGCAAGGGAGAGGTTGCTTGCCGCGCTGGCCATTCGGAGGAAGCAGGATCTAGGTCCTTCTTCTGTCTTCCTTGGCGTGAAAAAGGAGGAGGTAGACGATGTGCTGTCTAAAGCGGGGTTCACAGAGCATCCGAGAGTTTCCGCGCAGCTCCAGGAGGGACTGTCGGGAGGAGCGAGTCTGGGGATCTAGGCAGTCCTCTAGAGAACGGCGTGAGTTGTATCTCATGTTCGAAAGCAAGGGTTGTGAGACATGGCCTGTCAGCTTCTAGTTATACGCATTTAACATTCCTTAGCACCTATTTCGTGGTCGATTTTGTGCGAATATATCCCGATGTCTCAGCCAAAGAAGACCCGTGCTACGATTAAGGTCAGGGAAGAGCTAAACATTTCTTAGGCTACAGCTATCGTAGCTGCTGTGGAATTTATATTTTCGAAGATATGTCTAAGCTTTTGTCTATCCTCACCAGCACTGATGTTCGGACTAGAAAAGCGACAGGCAGTCTTTCTTAAGCGTTCTGGAGAAAGCACGCTGACTTTCGGGGTGACATTGGCGCAATCGACGATTTACTTCCACGATCCTCTCCGGCTCATCCTCAAAGACAGCGGACACCGCCTGGGTCAGCTGTATAACCTTAGTATCACCAAAGACGCTGCAGAGACCCTGGACGCCTGCCGAGGGAGGAGATAAGAGCTCGCACAGGCGATCAGTACATGTTCAACTCAGCCTGCCGCCGGGTTCCTCTTCGACATGGCGAGATCGTTCTGCCTTCCAAATGGGCCCCTTGAATTGTCACTCGCCAGCGACGAGCGGGCCGAAGGGTGGTCCTCTGTATGGTAGGCCAACTTCCTTGGAGCGTACACCCTTCTCCTCACCCCTTTCTATGTCCCCAATCTCGTCGATATGCTCGAAGAGATTGCCAAAACGAAGACGCAGACTGCGCTTGCTTCGCTCCGCCGTCTCAAGATCGAGCCCGTGGCACCGCGTACGACTATCTATGGGCACCTTCGCGACGAGCGGATTCTGGTTCTCCAGTTACTCATCGCGCTGTACGAGCTGAGAGAGTATGGCTTCTATCTCGAGATGATCAACCTTGGCACGGAGCGGGTCGCTGTCGACGGCGCCATTAATTTTGGCATTAGCCTGCCGTCCGAGGATTGAATATTGAACGGTCGCTTGTGGTAGAGGGTGATGTACATATCCCGCCGAGACCAAGCTCACACAGTGCCTCTAATTCGGGCGCGAAGATTCGTATGCCAAACCGTTATTTCGGAAAGATCCCATCTGACCCCGACTTGTGCTACCTGCCTGCAGTCGTCAAGTTTATGGTGACATGAGACGTTTGGAAGAGGACATACCTCACAGAAGGCTATACTTCGAAAGCTACCGGCCGTGCTTGGCGAACTGGGGCTTAGGTTTTGTGATTAGCTGGGGAAGGGACTGGATGTTTCGCAAGAATACGCTAACGTAGCATTCGTTTCGTTATATCGCATAACCACTATGGCGGCTACGCGATATAATGCAAAAAGAACGAATCTATGACCCGTGTTATGGCGAGAAAGCAGTGCAGACGGCGGTATCTCGCGAGCAGACGAAAAGTAGTTCATGAGCAGAGCACCCGGCCAGAGACTTTTAGTCAATAGTCGCGGGCGCAGTCAAGGTCCTTCGTCAATGTATAACCCCGATACTTGAAGTTTGAGGGATACGAGATGAAAATTAAAGTTAGTCAGAGGGACTAACGAGCCGCCATGGCGTTGACCTCGGCCAGCAAAGGATGGGCCATGAAGTACCACATCAGCGAAGACCTGACATTACCACTAGAGTGTCCGCAGTCTAGAAGGCGGCCATCTTGCGTCGATACTGCGTCATTACCAGGCAAGGTAGTAAACGGTATATCCTTCGTATTCTGGATAATTGTACATGCGAATTCCTTATTCCTTGTTTCACGTGCTACAGGTGCGAGCCCTCTAGCATTCACTCGGGCCTGTTAGGGTGTTCAGAAAGGCTCTGAGGGACAATCTCAACCCAGTAACTACAAGATACGCGTCAATGACCTGCTGGTTCAGGCACACAAGCACAACAACTCACCCGTCAGGGTCCAAGGCGAAGGCAATGTTCTTCATGCGACCATCCGTGAGGCGCTTCTTGAAGGGGACGCCGAGCGACTCAAGGCGAGCGCAGCACTCCTGGATATCAGGAACAGAAATCGCAATATGGCCGAACCCGCGGCCAGGGTCGGTGTTGCCAGAGGCGTAGCCTTGGAAGTTCGAGTCGCTCTCAGTGCCATGGTTGTGGGTGAGCTCGAGAATGCCCTCGCGATTGAGGCGGCGCTGACGCTTCTCCTCGGTGCCCGCGCCCTCGGTGTTCTCGTTGTAGCCGAGGAAGTAGAGCGTAAAGTCCGTCATGGGTTGCTCTGGGGAGCGACGCATTGAGTGGTGAAAGACGGTCGATGTGTTAGGGGCTCACCATGGATAAGGTCCATGCCAAGAACCTGCAAGTGAAAACAATGAGAGCTGCTTTGCATTGACGGGTACTACGGTACTCACGTCGCAGTAGAACTTGAGCGATATCTTGGGATCTTTCACACGAATCATCGTGTGGTTGAACTACACGATATCAGCATGTTTAGGAAAGACATGAGAGGGCAGCACGCGCACCTTGTAGCCCTTAGTCTCAGCTGGCGGCATGGTGGAATACTTTGCGTGGGCGAGTTGTGGGAGTCGAGAGAAGGGTGTGGAACGGACGCGGAAAGTATTTATATTGGAAAGGTGGAGGGCTCTCCTCGTGAACATTTCTGAATTCAGGAGCCGTTCAGATTCGATGACGCGAGACACGAGACACAGATGGCCATGATATACGGCTTGCTTCGGCGTATCTCCTTTTGGCAGGTCGTCATAGTGCTCTCTTCTCCTGCCTTCGGCGCATTTCTGCGCGTTTGATGGGGCTTCGGGTGCCCGTCGCGAGCTCGTGTCGTCGAACGAGCCTTCCGGTGGCCTTCCGCTAGACGGAACATCGCAGCATTAATTTAATTGAGGGCGGGCAGCATCGAGCTCTGGGGCGGCGCATCACTTCTGTTTTTGGTATTCGACACCGCCTTTCTGGAAGGATTCAGCCAATCATATGCACTACTGGATGCGTGACTGGCGATGATGTCCAGTCACGCCCCGCGCGAAACTGGATGCGGGTTTCGCCTGTTGCGTGATGGCTCTCATAGGACCCCGTAGACCTTTTACCGCACGCTAAAACTGCGACGGACAAGGTGTGCAGTATGCCAGTGACAGATTTTAAGGGAGATCTTATCAATCGTAGCAGTAATTTCATTCAATTGTTTGGAGAACCGAGATCTAGTGTACGGACAAGGTAGAGCACTCGCCGCTGCGGTCTCACAGGTCCCACGGGACCCTGCCACCCCGCGACTTAAGCAGGCTTCTGCATTGCCGACAGTTTGACGGGCGTGACATACTACTTCATATTTGCTCAAAGGTCCAAATTGGCTCTGGTTTTGACTCTTTCTTCGGTAGCGCGACCGCTCACGAGCACGTGCCGATGCTAGCTCATGCTCGTCGAGCCGTCCATACACGGCACGAACGTTGTAGATGTGCCCCGACCTCAGATTCTCGCCGAAAGTATCTGCAATGGCCGGTTATCTAGGCAGTATACATATCTTTATGTTTCTTCGGAAACGTTTTGGACTTTCCGCTCTGAATGTGGCCATACAGTACATACAAACTTCGAAGCTCGAAGCTCTCTGCGCGGCAGGTGGCTCACGTGAACGCGTTTGGGCGCCAAATATGCCCCTAACCCCATGGCCGCACATAAATATCCGAAACGCAAATGCGGGACGGTCCCAGATATTTATTTGTAAATAATGCATCCAGGCCCGTGAAACTTGTTGCAAGCCACACAGGTAGTCCAGAGGCAGAATTTTTTCAGTCAGATAGCTTCAAGCAGCTGAATTATTTGTATTTAAGGAGTCTTTACAGCTCTAATTGCGTCGCTCTTGCGTGCGATGTGACGGCGTCCATCCGCAGCCTTGGCATCGGTGTTCGGGCGCCTCGGCGGCGCGTCACTTCTATTTTTGGTACTCGACACCGCCTTTCTGCCTTTCTGGAGGGGTTCAGCGCGACTGGATGCACTGGTACTGGATGCACTACTGGATGCGTGACTGGAGATGTCGATGATGTATGATGTCCAGTCGCGCCCCGCGTAAAACTGGGTGCGGGTTTTGCCCGTTGTCTCACTTACACCACAACGAGGCGCTGAAACATCAACGTTCAACGTCAGTTTCCGCCACAACCACCAACTACACGTTCAGATTACGATGGCGAATGAGGCACCCAAAGTGGCTAGACAATTAGTATAGTGTGTTACGATGCATATATTAACCAAAGCTATGTCCAGTTCGTTGTACCGCCAAAGTATACGTTCACGCCTGGTGGCGTGCTGGCGCACAAAGACACGTACCAACGTTTGGTGAAGCTCATGCAGCAAGCCCAAGACAGGGACCCAGACTTCCATGGGATGTATATATACAACGGTATGTTCTTTGTGCTGTCTTGACAGTGTGGTACTGACCTCGATTAGACTTCTTCGGTTATGCTATCCTCGAGCTGGTGGACAAACTGCTGCAGTCTGCCCACCAGCACCAGTCGCTTCACTTGGTACGGAAACACCATCGGAGACAACGTCGGCCTCATTTTCAAAGAGAACGGTGGACGCCTAGGTGCGGTATGCGACTTCCGCATCGACCAGGATGCGGCCAGGGCTCTGGAGATCTCCTCTGCCGACGGCCCCCTGCACTTGCCTCAACTAGAGGCGCTTCGCGTGTCTATCGACCACCAGGTAGACTCTGTTCCTGCTTTCACTGATGCGGTCATGCCGCGACTCAAGTCTCTATTGTGTCTATGCCCGTCATGCGGTTCTCTTACGCTGGATACGCCCGACGCTCACATACCTCTTCTTCATTGAAGGCTACCAGCAGGCCGTAAGCGTGGCGGAATGGGTCGCGCTGCTATCAGGGCTCCCAGAGCTGGAAGAGCTGCATATCAGGACCCAATTATTTCCGGTTGATCCCCTGTTTGCAGAGACGCATCCACCGAGCCATCATGTCCAACTTCCGAAGCTGCGCAAAATCGGCGTCATGGATAATGGTCAACGCTACAACAACCCCGCGACATCATATGCTTACTTACTTCAGCACCTTTCCTATCGGCCTGATGCATACATCTCCTTTTGAAGCACGATGTGAATTTGGTTCACGCTGGCTGTCTGAATGCCGATATGTTTTATCGTCCTTGCTAGGCGCATCTTCCACAACGCTTCCGAAATCGGCTCCTGTACAGACGACCATTACGGACCATACGCCGGGAGATCTGGAAATCATATTCAGAGACGCGGCAGATGACTGACTGTTCAGCTCGTCGACGCCCGGGAAAGGCGAGAAGAAGCACAGGCAGACAAGGCGGGTCGTACCCGGGCTCCCTGAAGATGCTGTCTTTGAGCAGGAACGTTATTCCATACTCGAAACGGCAAGATCATACGGCTTTCCGAATGGCACTTTGCACTTACACTGCGTGTTCGATGGTGGGTGGCTCCGCATCCGAGAGGCCAAGTTCATGGATGCGCATACTCTTGTCCTCGATGCTTACGATGTCTTCCGCAGAGTCGACACAGTCGAGGAGGCTGTCCGGACCAAGGCGTATGCCACATTTGCCACTCTTCGCCGTCTGAGGATTATCCCGCAGTTCGGGGACAGACAACCGTATGGCGTTCAGTGCGCCGCAGAGACGCCTCTGCTCCTCAGACTGCTTGCCGGACTGGAAGAGCTGAAGAAGCGCGGTATTGGTCTTGAAATGGTCAATTTGGCAGCGGAGTGGATGTCCATTTACGAGGCCGTTGCTCTTGGTACGAAGCTGCAGTTCAGGGAATAAGTTTCTTCGCGCGATTGACTGATCCATAAATATATACTCTCCCGCCTAGGACTTTGTCTCGAGATGGATAGTCACGGTGCATATAGCAATTGCGTCGGTCACAAGACGCCTCGCGAAACTCGACAGGACTTGTAGACACGGCCATGTCCTGCTGAGCTCTTAAATAATGTCACAATTTTTTCCCCAGAATCATGATGCATCAATGGCGATCTTTTCTCCCAAAAGCCTCGTTAGGGCATCGTGATGCTTATCACGACACGAAATTGGCCTGATGAGGCCCTCACGATTGCCTCATGAGGCGGGTTTGATACGATTTTGACGTAATCTTGGGGCGTCTCCCTCATGAGGGTAAACGGAAATTTGCGATATTTTAGTACCATCCTTAGCATACGAGACGTATATCTAATGCGCTATGGCTACGTTCTAAGACTGGCCCTTTTTCTTGTGGGATCTGATATCCCATAGACGCCCGAGACACTCCAAGCAGTCTCACATTCGGCACATGTCCGTACCACCTTGTGAGCGCTGAGCGCTGTCGCTGTGGATAGAGTCACGTCGAACTGGTATACAGGAGACATAGTTGTTGCCGTCGGACTGATATCTCGCAGGCTTGTCCCCATATTAATCAGACATCGTGCTACGGTCTATCGACTTGCGGCGGCGATGGCTGAAGCGGCGGCTGCAATACCCGTTTGATTCCCCTACTCGGATAAACCGATACTAGTAAAGCATCTCGGCGACAAGCTCTTAGAGCAGCAGATTAACTGTTGGTGGTGACGGTCCCGTTCCTCCTGGAGGACGTATAATTGGTGTACTTCCTTGCCGCATGGCAGCGACGGCGCACCCCGAAGCAGCACACACTTCGAGCCTCCATCTTTGCTTCTGGGACGCCATAATACTCCGTAGATATGCAGACGCTGCGAGTTTGCCACCTTGAAATGTCTACCACGCCGCACACGGCTTGTGTGAGCCACCAGATTTCTGACCAACCCAGGTGGAAATTTCCGACCGTAAATCTCCGTGCCGCCCGAACCTTTACTTCTCGGCGGCCATGTTGTCGTTGTCTCTAGAACTAATGACGCTAGTCCTGTGCGATTTGAATGTCGCCCTCGTTCCCGAACAGCTGGCAGTCTATCTCGAGCACTTTGTTCCGTCGTCAAGTCCCCGAAATGGCCACTGGAATTCAAAGAGCAAACTGCGACGGGCTAAATTCGATCTTGAGGCTTGAAGGGCAGCCGTTGAGCCAGACGTGCAGCCTCCCACACCTCCGCGCTATCATCGCCGATAAAGGACTCGGCTTGTTGTTCTTGCATTTTGCTTTCCCTGCGAGCACCTCCATCGCTCTGCAGAATTAAGCATCTTCATCCGCTAAATGCGAACGAATTTCGAGGCCTGCGAGCGCACTGAAAGTTCAGTCCGAGCTCAGGGCAAGCTTCTCAGCTCGTCCTCAGGTGACCAAGTCTGTGGGGTGGCCAAACGAAGTCGCGAGAGTTTCGGTGTCTGAGGCAACGGACGCCAATGTATGCAACTCATCCGTTCGCTGACACTCGGAAATCACGCTCATTATGGCGAATTGTCGGCCTTGCTCCTTCTGGTGCCATGTGAAAAAAGGGACCTTGGGACCGGTATGTCCTCGATACCATGCCCGCCTTGCTTGAAAACTAACTTCAAATATACGAGGACGCGCTTGTGGAGGTGATGCGCGCCTTACTAGGAGATCCTCCTCAAAATGATGAGCAAAAACTCCTGTATCCAGCACTGAAGGTTCTACACCTGGAAGTGAAGATCTACAGCGAGCCCAACCCTCTTAACATCCTAGATTGGACCGTTGTTTCATTGCGCACAATGTGTCATCGGTTTGGACAAGCTGTGCACACACGCACCAGAGCACGTCAATGTGCTGATATCTTGTTCAGATATTTTCATGTACACTGAAGTGGGCAGAAACTGACGATAATGTTCTCTTTGCTGCAATCCAACTCGGAGGCGAGCGTTAAGTCGCCGGTCCCACTGCGACGTACTCGGTCAGCACGCTTCGCGCGGAAGTCTCGATATCAAGGTCCGCTATGGTCCGCTGCTGTTAAAGCACAATAGGTCATCCTAATTGTGTACGTGCAACATTCTTCCTGGTGAGAATACCTCAGTGGTCGCCCAACTTGACATAAGCTGGATATGTCAAGCTCAGAGTCGGCGGGCTCTTCCGGTCCACGTTCACCGCGGCGTTGCGTGAGCCCGAGCCAAACGCCACCGCCGTAGTGCTCGAGTCCAGCACTAGAAGCCGAAAAGTTTGCAATTCTGACATACTGAAATCCGGACCCTTTATCCGGTGGGCACCAATGTTGAGGCTTTGAGGTGCAAATCCGCGGAGATAAGCCCTCAGTGCCACAGCAACATACGGCCTGTTCTGCACATCGCCATCATGCAGAAGGTGACAATCAAGTCGGGCGCGCGCAGAGAGGCGGGTGTTTGTGTACCAGACATGTTTCTCGACGGATGTACAAGCTAGCACGAGAGGCGAGCTCCCTGGATGAAGCCTCCCAAAAGCGGCCTCGTGTGCATCTTACGCTCGAAATTTTAATATTCAGACCAGGTCGACACGTAAGTTTCTGTGAGAACAGTGAAGTGCGTGCGCACACGAGGTCGGCGACGTACCAATCGTCTTCTGAACGGGAAGGTCCCTTCGAAGATCGCGACACCTGAAGTCTATCAGGCCGACGGCACGATTGTATAAAGACGCCGAGGAGCTTTCCATGTGATGCTTTCATAGACGAGGGAATTTGCAGAGGCAAAGAAGCACGACGTACAACACAAGAGCTCAAGAACGACGAGACATGTGCATCGCGTCCGTACGACACGACCAAAATACAAGGATCCCGCGGAGGCTCGAGCTTCGCCTTCTGTGAGCTGCCAGGCCTTCACGACGGTTGACGTTATATCAGAGGTGTGCAAGTCACAGGGACGTAGGCTCGTAGCGACTAATACGCAAATGGATATCGTTGAGGAGAGAGACGAGCTATGCCACTTCGGTACGCTTCTCGGGGAAGGGTACGGCTTCTGTACGCGCGGCTTCGCCGTAGGTGAGCAGCCCGACGTACGGCATAACGTTGTACCTCAGCGTGTAGTTCGCTGGCGATACGCCCCTGCGAATATAATAGGGTTAGTGTTTAATCCCAGTGAATGATTCGACAGATGGAAAAGGATGACGGGGTGTGTGAACAAGCGAAGGTCGTGAGGAACGTGCCGGCGGGAGAAGGAGTGAGGTGAAATATCACTTCGGGCGGGGAGCGCATTGGGACTTTGTACAATGAAGGTGTCATGGAACACGGAGGCAGCACGAAGGTAACTGGAGCTGGAAGGGTGATAGGGGGAAGGATACTCACTTGAAGGACTTGCCCAGATTGCGAAAGACGTACTTGTTGCGTCCGTTCAGGTTAATATTCGCCTTATCCTTGCTTCGGATGATCCTGTCCCAAATAACGACCTCGTTCTTCACACCCTTGGCATCCACATACTCCGCCTGAAGGTACAGAAAGAGCTGCTTCGTGTTCCAGTGGAAGAGTGGCGTCAAGTCTGTGTGTATTCACTCGTAAGTCGCCTGGTTGGAGCAAGGGCTACACTCACCAGCAGTAAGGTTGAAGTGCGCGAAGGTCACGTCCTGCCATCGGTTCGGATACCGGCGCATGTGTCCCTCATATCTAAACAGCCTCCATTTGAGACCTTCGCCAAGCTCAGAGACCACTCACATGTTCAATGAATGCACGTTCAGGGTGCCTTTTGGTTCCGTCATGAACACGAAGGAAGAGAGTGCAACGGCAGCCAGCAGCGCCAGCATACAGGAAGAGAGAAATGCAGAGACATTGTTTATTCTCGAGTAGACGGTATGCATCGTCGTGGAGTGGGAGGGAGAGTCGCTGCAAGTCGTTGCTGGAGTCTGGTGAGCGTGTCCGGACGTGTCATCCGAGTCGGTTCGGGTGATGGGATCGGAGCATCAGGCCGAGGCGATCTGCCCGCGCGACGCGTGAACCGCCCGTCAGTTGGGCCAAACATGTTACTCTTGGTTTCGCTCCTCGCCGTCCTCTGCGCTGGCAGTGCCCAAGCGGCGACCACAACCAACACCATTGCCTCTCTCCATCCCTCACTACCTGCTACCTGACACCGACACTGACACCACCACCGACACTGACACCAGTGCTGCGCTCGCAAGACCATGTCCGAGGCCAAGATTATCCATCGTATTATCCGCCGCGTCGCTGGTTGGGCCGTGGTTTCGTTCTTCAGCGAAGTACATGTTATTGGTGAAGAGAATGTCCCCAGGGACGGTCCTATCGTTGTGTAAGTATTCCCGTCCGTACCAAATCTTCGCTCCAGGCTCGTGCGCGTCGCTCGGTATTGCCGCGCAGCAGCCCTCACGCGAGCAGCAACACCTTTCAATCCATCCACCATGGCGGTAAACACCGCATTACAACGAGCACCGCACGCTCGGACAGAGCTTGTCTGCGCCACAACATAAGATGCAAGCACATGCTCTTTCCACATGGGCACTACAGCATACCGAGTGCCAGTCTGTAACGCTGCTCAAATGCAATACGCAACGCATATAGGAAGCTCTGCATATTCTATGAAGCCAATTACGTGATCAAGTGTACTCACTTCCGATCTTTCGCACAGGACTGCAACACACCACAACATGGTCATTGACCCATGCGTTCTTTGTAAGTACTAGTCCATCTGCTCGCTAGTGATGTACGGGATTGGCTTGGACTCCGGCACCGCGGCCAAATCGATCCTCCACATAATCCCACTGGTAACCGGGGTCGCGAGGCGTACGGCGTAATGGACCGACTACTGCGATTGAATTCACCACATCGTAAGGCTTCCTAAGGCCCCAACTTGCCCCAACGCCGGTGAGTTCGGTATGTGTTGCTAATCAGAACCGTTTGGGGCACTATGTTCATCATACGCGACAGTATCAGACCATTGGGGTTCAGCCCCAATCACTATGCCAGGGTTTGCAACGTGCCTTGTCCGAGTAAGGGTCTTAACTCTCCATAGCATCGCGAAGAAACTAATGAAGTATTTTAGGGATTCCTCTAGACATTCATACCCGTCTTATCATTAGCAGGAAAAAGCCGACCTCTTAGTCGCCTTCGAGTGCACCTTCTAGTGCCAGACTTGTGAGCTTTATTCTGCGTGGAAGAGAAGTTCACGTTCGCTTACGTTCAACCAAGTATATGAATGTCCGCCCACGATATCTGTGCAAGCGTCATCGCCTGAAAGATCTGCAAGGCTCCATTGTGGTTGCCCAATCCAAGTCTTCCCGCACATCACTACTAAGCGTTAATCTTGCTAGTATCGCTTGATATTGACAGTCTACATGGTAGCTTATGCATTTCCGTACGGCCGTATCTTGCACTATTGGGCGAAGCGTACGTATAGCATATATTCTCAAAATACCCACGGAATTCTCATTGCGCATTGTAGAGTCCTTGTTTATGGGCTCAGTTACGACCTATATTCTGACCTCCGCCGGAAATATCCCTGTCGACCGCAAGACGAAGGACCGGCGGAAGCTCTTCGCAGGAACGATGGAAGCGCTGGCGAAGGGGACTGCGGTAGCACTGTTCCCAGAAGGCACAAGTTATACGGAGCCTCGGATTATGCAAGTGAAGGATGGCGCTGCATGGGCTGCGCTTGAATACACGAAGTGGATAAAAGAAAACGGCAGCGATGCACGCCCGGTAACTGTGGTGCCAACTGCCATTGTATACACGGACAAGAGCAAGTACCGGAGCAGGGTAAGTGGTTTGCCGATGCCTTGCACGCTGTTCTGACATTTCTTCAAGGTGATTATGGAGTGAGTTCGCTGCGGCTATCATGGCTGGGCGTTGAGCCTGACTGATGCAGGTTCGGCAAACCCATTACTATGGAGCCATTCACCGAACAGTTCCTGTCCTCCGAGGAAGGCGCTGCCAGAGCTGCGGTCAAACGACTCACAGCAACCATCGAGCGCGAGCTGGTCGAAGCAACGGTCAATGCACCTGACTGGTAGGTCGGCTGCTTTCGATGAGGGCCCGAAGCTGACTATCTGCAGGGACACTATGTACTGTGCGCGGATGGCACGGGAGCTGCTTTGGGAAAGCGAGCGGCTCATCAGCTTGGACGATTTCGCGCCGATAACACAGACGTGCGTGCTGGTGTCACGCTTGCTGACGAGATTTCTCACCTTGTATGCATAGCCTCGTCGACCTGTTCTGCACGCCTGACCTCGTTCCGCGGTTCAACGCGACAAAGAAGGCGCTGCTAACGTACTACTCGCTTCTACAGTCTTCGAACCTCACAAACTCCGCGCTTTCGACGCTCCCGCTCCCGCTGGACCTTGACCCCAATCGGCCGGTGGCCTTGCCCTCGCGATTGCGCACTCTCAGCGTGCTAGTCGCTGAGTCACTCGCAGCGTTTGTGCGCCTGCCGTTATTCCTTGTCCCACTGCTAGTGCATGCCCCGGCGTACTTCTTTGGGCGCGTTGGCGGAAAGCTCGTCGAAGACGAAGAGGAGACACAAGCACAAAACAAAGTCGCGTTCGGTCTACTGTTTCTGATGATTGTGTACACTTCTATTGGCGTCTTTGTCTGGTCGATGCTTTGGTACACTACAGCTGGAGCCTTCCTCGCGACGGGCTTTGTTTTCCTCTTTGCTTGGTATCACAACTCGCTCATCGACGGTATGCCTTGTGCTTCCCTCCGCAGAACGCGCCAATGCTGACCTTTCTCCTGCTATTCCTTTCGTGCTTCTCAACAGAATACTATGACCAGTGCGTCTCGCCTCTTTGCATCTTTTTACATCTGACACTGATCATGAAAATCAGTGCAAAGCGCCTCGTCGCAGCCTGGCGCGTGCTCGTCGGCGTGTGGGCACCGAAGCACTGGGATCTCACGGTCCCCGCATTAACGCAGTACACTGTGCCGCGCGTACCCCCCGAAAACGTATGGGTTGACAAGCCACGCTCGCGACCTTCAACACCCCGTCTCGACGCGTCACCTGCACCGGTTGTCGACAAGGGCTCTGACGTGTCTGGCACGTCCAGGGCCGAAAACGGAACAGGCGCAGGCACAGAAGGCACCCCGAAGACGAAGAAGCATCGCCGCCCACCATCACGGCGGCTCGTACGTCATGTTCTGCGTGCACGGATTGAGGCAGTCAAGGCGCTCGCGGCGTTGTTCGCTCGTCTGGAGCGCGCGCCAGAGACGCGGGTCCGCGCGTCTACCCATCTCGCGCGTACGTTTGGGGGCACCGTGGATCCCTCTCCCGACCCTTCTAGCGTGAACGTGGAGACTGAGGGTGCGTCGGGTGTCGGCGTCGGCGAAGCCGAAGAGCCGCGCGGATGGCGCGAGGCGCGCGAGATCGTCGCGTTCCTGAGAGAGCGCGGCGCCAAGGTCGCAACTCTACGGGCCCGAGTCGCAGGCGAGTGGGCGGCGGCGCTGAGCAGCGAGGGCGAGGGTGAGATGACGGACGTGGACAGCGGCGTCGAGGACCTGGTGTGGGTGCCCTCCAGGTCGGACTCCCGAGCGGATTTGGCGAGCATGAAGACGACGTAAGCGCATGGAGTCGGATGTCGCTGTGGTCACCGAGGTCTACACGCTGCTCCTTCCTCGTTGCTATTCTTGCAGTAGGATGTTGCTATGGATTTACTGTTTACCTGATCTCCGTCTTAATGTGACATCGTTGACGGCTGTGCGCTCGTGGGTGGACGTGTGTGGGACAAGCGCGGGCAGTATTAGGTGCGTTGAGTCGGCATCTGCTTGGAGGCTAATGAGCTTGCCTGCAGGTGCGATGCTATTGTGGCCTCCTAACAATAGCCGACGCGAAGGCGTCTCCTTGTCAACATCCCTACATAATTTAGGTTATTCGAGCTTGTTCCAAGGGTTTACGGGAGCTAACCACGCTGGGCAAGACCTTGTTCTGATCATGAAAACATACTTGTCTTTTTCATCGCGGACCGTTCATCGTGAAACATTGGTTCCATCACGAAAACACTCCGGAATAATCCACCGGCACCCCCGTCCCCGCACTGAGCACGCGTGTCTTCATTGTCGGGTGCATCCGAGGGGCTTCATCTTCGCACCTATCGCTGATGTCCTCCCGCCCCACAGGGGTATGGCGTTATCGGCCCGCCATCTATGGGCGCGATGTACACAGGCTTCTGCTCGTGCTCGTGCTCGGCGGGAGAACCGTCGGCCAGGGCCCCCCGAGCTAATGCCTTCGTGCCGCGAGGCGAGAGTGCCCGACGGTGTTCGCTCGCTGCCGTGGAGGTTGGGCCCGCCGTGCGGTGTGTGTGACGAACTCTCCGTTCTGGGGGCCGTCCCGTCGGAGAGCTTACCCGAGCGCAGGTTGGTGGCGCGCCCAACAGGCACCATCGGCTTGTTGTCGCTGCCGTGGATTTGCGTGAGCCTTAGACTTTACGTGTAAACTGTGCGCGTTGCTCCCGAAGAGAGAGAAGGAGAAAGAGCGCTGTGCGTGCTTTTCGCTATTGACTATTGAACGATTATGTATTTCTGCTCATTGCAAGTAGTCAGGTGATGGAGGGGCTCTCCTGTGGCGTTCATATGTCTGGCTTGCACTTGTTCATTGCAAGTTCATCTTCGCGGCATTTTTTTCTTTGTTGTAGTGGGACCTATGCGAAATGACCAGTCTGGGCTCTGGGGCACAGTATCTAGCCAAGTCTCGGCTGCGTTACCTGTCGTCCTCCCGAATGGACTGCCAAGTGTTGAAAGCGAATTGATACACATAAGTGAGTTACATTGTGTTTCCACAAGCCCAGACGCTAAAAGGATGCAACTCGTGGCAGGCTACATGTGCGAATGCGACTTGTTGGTTGTTCTGATCCACGCCGGAACCCTGGTAAGAAGCCGCAAGCTGGAACTGCTGTTTCCATCCCGCGTGAAGGCTGACGTGTTGCCTGGTGTCGGGATCTGGTCTTGTAGGTGTTGTACACACTAACGCTTGGCAGTTGGCGTGAACTGCACTCAGCATCCGCGCACTCTTCCCGCGTTTCTGAACTTTGATTACGCTGCTTTGCCCCGGATGGTATTTGCGGCGACGCTAGCGCGCTGAGCTGCGGCTTGCGCTTGATGCGGGGTCGCATCGTGGTCCTTTCCTTTTCCTGCGCTGGAGTCGCCCAGATGTCGGCACCGATGGTCTAGTGCCCCGACACTTTCGGTGTGGGGTGTTCCTTTGGCCTACGAAATATCCATCATGTCAGGCAGATATTACCATGGGATCCCTTGAGTCTCGCTTCCACCTCTGGCGCTCGTTCTGTTCAGAGCGCCTGCGCACTTGCCGGAGACGCTGTCAGTGTGCTGCCAGTCCCTATCCATCTGCACGCTCTGACCTGCCTTTGGTCCCTCATCATAATTTGACAATGCACACGGTACGCAACTCCTGGGAAGCAGGAAGCGTCCACCTCCTCTTCCTGGTTACTTGTATCCGCTTTTTGGTGGCTAACCTGCCACGTATGGTAGGGCCGTCTCCTTTTGCGTGGTGGTGTAGCCTTTACGTCCCATTCCTCGAACTCGAACTCTCCCGCAGCTCCATTCTCAAGCCTCAAGTCTTCTGCCAGAGGCCTGAGAGACCGGTTCTCTGGCGTCTGCGTCCACTAGGCTTTGATCATCGATTTTCCGCCGTTCAGTGCATCGGCTCTGCGGCAGCTTGCCAGATACATCATCTCGTGCGACAGCTTTTGTCTTTGTTCTCATGCTCATCACGTCCAGATCCTTGTTTTTGCGCGCGATTCGTGTCGTTGCTGCGAAATAATGCGACCCCTCGGCCTCCCGTTGCAATGGCCGTTCGAAGCACACACCATCTGTCCACCGGTCGATTCCATGCATCTTGCCCTCCTGTCTGCGACACGTAAATAGCGCCACTCAACTCTATATACCCATAATTCCGCCGCCTTAACGAACTCGCTAACGTCTTAGCAACAGCTAGTCTTTATCTCCGAAAGCTTCAAAACTATCTTTCCGCCGCCGATGAGCGAGAATCAGGACTCTATTCGGGATCCTAATCGACGGAACTTACGGTCATTTTGAAGGTTGCATTGTAATATCCTGTTCGACCGGGATGCCCGACCTGCAGTACGTCACTGGTGTCCTTCTCTCAGCTATCATTGGTTGACAAGGGTTCCTGGCAGGCCGATACTTGATTCTGTAAGCCTCCTTGGACATGCCGATGTCAGATTATAATGTTCATCAAACACTCATGCCTTTCTTCCCTGCACTGACACAACCATGCTTTCTTGTTTATTAGGGCATTCTTTCGACAAGTTACGGTCCGCGGAAAGGCAAAGCAGGCGCCGCCTCGTCATCATTCGGCGAACTCCTCACTTGCACATTGCGGTGGTGAGCGACCCCACTCCAACATCCTCGTCTCGGTTCTCATTCGCTTTTATTTAACAATTCTGATGGAGTCGTCTCTATTCGCCACCGCCACTGCAGCCGTGCATTGAGCACCAGCACACAGCTTTCCGCAACCATGCACTTCCGTCTTCCGTGGTCACTGCGGTGGCAGCAGATGATTTCATGCGTTCCATTGCTGTCTGCCAGCCGAGAAGACGGCGCGAGCTGGTTGACTTCTGGGCCATATCAGGATCTCGTACCCCGGCCCGTCTAGCCCGTCAGTGGTGCACTCATCATGACCCCGAGGCTGTTACTGGCATTAACAAATTACGCGGCACTATGCCGCAGTATGGAACATCTGCTTTGGCATTTCTTCTTGCCACAGAGAAGTGCCTTCTGCCGCTACTCAAGGCGGAAGACCTGCGGCGACTCGTGAAGGCTGGGCCATCAGGTAATGATCATCTCTCCAGCAGTTTTCCAATTTCTGACCATGCCGTTCTCTCAGCAGTCGCACAGGGGCATGAAGATAATGAAACGCGTGCAAACCCTTTCTCCGCAAATTATCACAACAAGTGGACAGCCAAGCCCCGACACGACCGGAAGAATATGGTGATAGCGTCTGCGTTGTATTTCTATGTCGCAGACCAGAGCTGATACGATGTTTTCTGCGTCTCAGCCTTTGCGCTTCGCTGGCCGGCCTAGATGCTCTGCGCGTCCTTTGTAACTCTGCCGTAAGACTCCCAGCACTTCTCGAGATGATCCAGGCGCCGGGGTGAGTACACGATCTGCAGAGTCCGACTATGTCAATTGCCACTGTATTGTGCGGGTTCACAGGCAAGTGTGCTCCCCCTGGAGAGCGGCCCTATTTGGAACTCTGGAGTACACGACGAACGACGTATCTGCCAGCCCAGATAATGCTGTTCGAGGCGCTGTACGGCACGTTGGAAGAGCGCAGGCGGCGAGACCCCCTCTTGGCTGCAGCATCGTAGCCACGCAAGGCCGTCTGGTCTCTTCTGAGATGCCTCAGCTGCTAGATGTGCGATGTCGTCTGCCCGGGAACGTAGAGAGAGACCGTAGCGCGTCCTCATGTCCGAAGTTCAGACGTTCCTCCCTGGCACGACTGCAATGACCCCATATGGCAGGATGCCGCACTGCCCCAGCAGCAGGCTCAGCAGCTAGGCGCGGCCTTGACATGTTCCCCGCAGCCCTGCGCCCGGCCGATCCCGTGCCCAAAGCTCGTCTCGATCTGGTTCGATCGTACACTGTCCATGGCTTTGCCGACGACGGATGTTCGCGCAACTCGGCGCTCAGCGCTCAGCCTTGGCACCACGACTGATGGAGCCTCTCCCGACGTCGCGCGCCTCGGCCTGGCATTCTCCGGAGCAAGGTTTGCGCTTTTTCGTTTGCAGCGCTCGGCGGCCGGCAGCTCGAGCATCACCTGACGGTGCGGGCCTCACTCCCCGGATAATGTGGCGGCAGTGCCATCGCAGTAATGGGCGTATCGGGGCTACCATTAAACTATCATAAGCGTAATAGACAACGATGGTCCGGGTATAATGGGTATAGTACAATGTGCATCCCCGGGTCCTCCTCCCAATCTGCCGCACGAACGAGAGAAATAACCTTGCGCAAACTAGCGTGCTAACCTGATAACGACGAGAGGGGCCTGCTGGGCGGTAATTATAACAGCGGGCCTAGGATAGAGCGGATCCAGTAACAGCATGTCAATGCGAGAGCGGCAATGGGAAATGAGGTCGACAGAAAAGCAGGAAGACTGTTCGTGAACAACGAGAGCACAATGACAGACAGACCGGGGGAAAGGGGGCAGGCACCGATGGAGAGCGTGACACACGACAGCGCGGACGGGGCACTTCAACGACCGTACCCCGGAGCTGCAGCGTACAGTGATGGCTCCGACTCCCGCTGACGTGTCCCCCTGCGCGAGTTGACGGGGTATTCGCATCGCAGGTTGCGCCGTGCGCACTGGCTGCGGGGTCGGTCAGCTCCCTGTCGGATGATGGAAACACCGAGGGCCACTCACTTGCATGTCCGGTCCTTCTTTCCAGGCGGCGGACTCCCGCACGCGATCTTGCGCTTTCGACAGAAGAAGCAGGCAAGTGTGAGCGGCTTCTTTGGGGCGTCCTCGACGAGCGGCGGACTTCGCCGCGCGGGGATTGCGATGGTTGCCTCGGTGTACGGCCCCGACTGCGGCTGGTGCAACGCACCCGAGTAGTGTCCCGTCGGGTACACCGGCTGCGGCTGCTCGACGGAAGTGTAGGAGTACGATGGGTAGTAGTATGTCTCCTGGTAGGGCAGGTGGGCCATCGGCGACTGCGTACGCACCGGGGCCTTCATAGGCGCGCCGGCTGCGTACGCGGAATGGCGCTCGTCCGCCGTCTGGGGGCCGTCGGCGAAACCGTGCGGGTGGTCGTAGTGCATGTGTGCAGCTGGGTGCGGGTGTCCATCGTACGGCCCACCGCGGACGCCGTCCTGGCCCGCGGGGTACGAGTACTGCTCGGCAGTTATCAGGCCTCGAGGATAGCCAGCGTCACCGGCGTCTTCGTAGCCTGAGAAGTGCGTGTGGCACGCGTGCGCCTGCGGCTCTCCGCAGCCGCGCTCGTCCACGAGGCGTCCGTCGTCGGACGTGTGCGGCGAGTCGTAGAACGTCCCGCTCGAGTCGTCGGTCGACGCCGGCGAGACTTCGCCCGACTCGTAGAACGCCGGCAGGGGATGCATGCCGCCCGTGTACGCTGGGGGCCCACCGGCGCCCTTGTGCCAGTGCTCCTGGGAGATGTATTCGCCAGCGTAAGGGATGACGCCAGGGCCGGCGGCATCTTCGTAATACTGGTGGGATGCTGAGACCTACTCGAGGCCGATTGAGATGGCAACCTTGATAACAGGGCCGATGGTGGCACCCACCTGATTGTACGCCAGCCGTACAGCGCTCACGTCATGTGTGTTTTCCATGGAGTTCGCGGAGGCCCCGTGCGCGCTTGCGTAGTAGAATGAGCCGGCGGAGGGCGAGGCAGGGTATGGGTGAGAGATCGAGTACGGGTACTGAAAGTGCGGGTGCATGCCACGCTCGTCGTGATCGTATAACGGAGACGGAGGGGAGGATGTCGCCATGGGCCCGGGCGAAGACTCTGTCGATCGGAGGTCAACGATTGCGTCGAGAGAGCGAGGAAGGGGGGGATCGAGGGACCCTTGAAAGGAAGAGGTGGTGGCATTTTATATGTAACATCACAGGTGACTCTGGCGTCGATTCCTCCCAGTCTCAGGTTGAGGTTTGTTGAGACCTAATGGGCGCCTTTTCGGCCTCGGAGAGTTTCCTATTCGCTGCATCAAGCATCTCTCCGCAGAGACGGCGTCTTGTATTTTGGGTTTTACAGGGGGAAAAATGTAACGATCTGCCTTCTCGCCAAGTAGGCAAGTGACATCGCATAGCAGCTTCACTTCCCCCTTCTGCCACACCCCCGAACCCCAGCTCCGGGTGCGTGATAAGACTTCGCGCCAGTCACGCTGGCCGCAACGCAGTACGGCATCGGCCTCAACCATGTTGCATCTCACAAAAAGAATCAAAGAGGACCGTTGTATCGACCGCCATCCTGTTTATCGATCCCGCTGCCCTCACGATGCATGCTCGATAGTCTGATATTATGCGGTATCAAGTTCGATCGCCCGCTGCGCAACCGCGTTCGTCTGCGATGGTGACAGATGTCGTCCCTCGGAGCTCATCACGACCACAAACTCTGCAGACACGTTGCAGTAGTGTTGCCAGACACCTTAAACACGCTGCCTCGAATGGTTTAGCACCAACTTAGCTCGTCAGATCCCTCGTGTTTGCGGACAAGGACCATCCGGTATGTTCAAATTCAGCGCTACCCACCCCGCGGGCCCCCCTTCGCGCCGGCATCCGGCAAGAAAGCCTCTCCTACTTCGTGGTTCGTCGCTCTTCACTCTCTGCTGCACACTGACCTTCTGCAATTTGCAGCAATCGGCCCATGTGCGGGCGAGAGCTAGCCCGTCTCTGGCCCTAAAATGTCACTCTGGGCCTCGGTCCCAGACAAACGCCGCCCTAGACTCTGTTTAGGAAGTGTCTTGTGCTCGCGCCTTGGTATTCTTTGATCATCCAGAGTTCATACTGAGTGGGCATATTCCAGACGGATAATGGAGCCGTTCCCGATATGACCGACGCCCTCATTTTAGTGCTCTCACGCTATTTTACGGGGCCAACTTGGCTTACGGCGATCGAACCACCGAGTGTCGTGACATATGAAACTGGTGCTTGGTTTCTCCCGAGTTTAGGCACTGCGAAGGCGACGTGCGTCCGTGGTTTTCGTAAACCTTGTCATCATGGGCCGTCCGGTGGCCGTCCACCAGCGCGAAATGCTGCCTCAGCCCGCAAGTTGCTTCCTTCGGGTAATCATATATGCATGGGGCTGTGCTACTGAATAAAATCTCTCAGTAATACCTGTGCGAGTGCGGCTTGCGCGTCATCCTATCTCCTCAGCTCTGCCGAAATCATGAGTAGGCATTAGTACCCTCGGGAAGCATCAACAACAAAATATCAGACTGGTGCGTATGATCGCTCGACGATGCATCTTCTTTGCTCTTATAATGAAGAAACTCCGTGACGTCGACGTCGGTGAGGATCGGTCTCGGTCCTTGATGCACATGCTCTTTCGCCAGGGCTCTGTAGGATATTCGAACTGCCGCCTTTTGGATTCTCCCCGGGCATTGAATCATTTCGTCAGTCCGCCTTCGCAATTTCTTCTGCTGATTTTTCTCTCGTATATTCCCTATTGAAACAGATGCGCACTATTTCCACACGTTGCCTACTGCTTCGACGCCACCGCAATATTGCTTCGCCCCGTACTATGTGCGGCAGACTGCCCTTCGAGAAAATTGGGACGAATCCTTCTCCGCCTCGGGGCTCACTGGTTGCTACCTCATGGATGATGATTGACACAGACGGAACAGCAACGGGCTGTCTTCGTACGCAGGCCTTCAATCTTCCATACCAGTCAGTATCCTACTTCTTCATCGTTCTCGTTCCTTACTTCTCCCGTGGGGACAGGGCGCACGCGAAGTCGTTTGAAAGTTACAGTTCGGCTTTTCAGCATCTCTTCCCTTCAATGAATGACCATCAACCGCTGCAAGGAAGTGGTAAAAATTCCGACTCGGAGACAGTGCATCTGCGTAGCGCCATGCTTTGTCAAACTCGCTGACCAGACTCTTCAGACGGCTCTTACATTTCCTTACTCGATATATATATATCGCTTCAAGCCGATGATAAGCTACCTCGGCAGCACCGCGTCCTAGAAGCCTTAGCCTTGAACGGAGCACATGTTACCACTATACTCGCAGAGCCGTGTGCACGAGTGTCCCAGAAAGCGTAACTGCGCTTCCTGCGGCAGGTAAGGCTTCCATGCCCTGATCCACGCGACCTACTCCTTGCTGTGCTTCCTGTGCGATACAGAGGACGAACCTTGTGTGTAGGACTGAACATTGGTTCTATAGGTTCCGCAACTTGAACCGCTACGCGCCAGCTCAGCGACACATCATTACTCTCAGCGGCTCCAAAGTCTGGACTTCGTCCGTCGGAGTCCCGCAACGGGCTGATCAGTACGTGACTCTACGTCGTTACACACCGTCCATCAGAAAGTTCAGAAAGTCCATTCGGTAGCATTTCATTGTAAGATAGTGCCAGAATAGCGGATTTCCACTATGAAACAAAGGCGCGTCGCGCTCCCACAGCTATAGGCGTTTCAGTGACTATATTAATGACTGCCCAGAGCTTCTCTTACGCTCAAAGGCTTGCTCTCTCCTGCCTTGTCGACGCCGAGCTGACGGCCGTGCGTTCCCTCGGAAGACGCTTGCCTACGAAGACGCGGGAGTGCCTAGGTTCAGATTCCCTTCGGCATCGCGTTTCAGCTCCAGTCGTCGGTCTATCAGTGCCACTGGTAAGTACAACCAGCCAGTACTGCGGAGGACTTTGCCCTCATCATGTCTACTATCTCTAAACCTCCGTGTAGGACCGGATTCATGGTACAGACACGCCACCAATAATTGCTCACTCAGTATTCTTCTGATTAGTGCACATGAAGGACGACTCTGTTTGTCTTCCAGAACTTCGCAGAGGTGAGTCTATCCACTATTCAGGCGTCCTTCTCAGGCAGAAACCTTCACAGCGCCGTTGGCCGCCCCTCAGAGAGGCAGCAATCAGCAGCGCCATCCCTCAGTCGTTAGCAACGCCATCTCAACCCGACTGCGGGTCCAACCCTCTGCCCTTCCAGGGTTACTGTCGATCCGGATTCTTCTTACCACGAGCGCCCTAAAACCCACACTCCAAGCCGTCTTAGTACCCGCCCAGCGATGCGCCTAACGCGGTACAGTCAGGGTCTTCGAGACACTAATTAACACTTTAACTAAGCGAGTCTTGTTGCTGACTAGTCCTCTTGGGTGTCACCGGAACTTACGACTTTGCCATGCGGCGCGGCCATTTCGTCGCAGATATACGTGTCATTTCCCGTAGAAATGTATATGTCATGAGCCCTCGCGTATTGTATTCGTTCGTTTCGTCCCTGGCTGTGCACGTCTCCACGTCACAAGCTGCCGACATTAGACTTCGGTCAAGGTTTCCATCCAACTCAATCTGCTCATCGATCAGACAGTGTGGCTCCAAGAAGGAGCGATCGTCGTCGCGCTCGTGGCGAAAGCGTGCACCCGTCGGCGTTGTTCTTGTAAGCACGCGCAGAAAATCTTTGCTCGCCAAGATCGCTCGGACTCTCCCTAGCGCTTTACTTCCGACATGCATGCGTGTACGCATGCTGCAACGCAAAGCCACGCCGTTGCGATTTCGAGATATGGTTTTGAGCGGGAATTTGCGGTGGCTGTGAAAGTGCGAGGATATCTCTGTCCCGTGTGTAAGTCAGCTGGCCAGTGGATAGCTGTCTATGAGGCACTTGTGCCGCCCGAGCACCTAGCACGAACTCTGAGAGTGTAAAAGTAGGACTATCGCGTACCTGACGAAGGCACTTGGCTTCTCTGGTGCTGACTGACCGACCTCGGCTGTTGGGAAGTAGCCGGTATCAGGAGCCATCTATCCTCGAGTTTGTGCAAGCCACCTTGCTATTCGGGTGATCGGTACAGCTAATCAGAGCGATGTGGTACTTTCAATCTCACTCGACGCTGGATACACATCTTTCCACTTTGGCTCCTCCGGCCATCCCTTTCTGAAATGCTTAACGGCAAGCACCATCTGCCTCGCGCAACGCTCGGCACTCATGCGGCCGACGCCGGTCCCTAGTCCTGTCATGAGCACCCTCCTGATCTGGTTCTCGTCAGAATGTGTTTCGTTCCACTGCGCAATTTCGGCAAGGAGTGACCACATGCTATTGTAGCACAGGTCCTTGTGCCAGTCAACGTCCTGAGGGACGCGCATCGTTGGCAGCACCGCGAGGACACGGGCCTCCCATGGGTTTCGTCCTTCTCCGGAGACATCGGAGGGCAGCTCCACGAGGGTGCAGGTCGAGGGAGGAGCAAATCCTCGCCATCTTTTTCTAAGGACTTGCTGGACGTGATGCGTCAGCCGCCTCAAATCCTTGGACTCTCCCATGAATACTCGGGAAAGTTCAAGATCATACCTGGCGATGGCGGTGAACGTTAGCGTGATCCTACTTCTATTGTGTACACAAAGAGTATCTAAACCTAATCTCCACTCACCCTCCGTCCATAATCCCGAAAGAATTCGCAGGTGAGACCATGCAGTCGCAGCGAAGCAGTTGGGCATCGATGTCTTGCAGGTATCCCTCGTAGATGGAAAAGTGCAGGCTGTCCTCTTCACCGAAGTACTTCCTGGTCGCTACTCTCCATAATTCACATAATGATAGATCTTTATCGCTGCGCGGCTTGGGCGAGATGAAGATGAAATGTGGGATGGACATGGTAGAGTGTCAGCGGAAAGATCAACTAGGCGCTCAACCAACCTTGTCTGCACTGCCATGTCGCGCGTCTTGTACACGAGCGCTGCGGACGTCCCACCATACAAAAACCATATTCTCACCAAGATAATAACGCTAACGACATTATTATTACTCTACGCATTAACGGAGCTCCTATCGTTTCATCGCCTCAGGCTAGTCCTATTCAGGAGCCGGTGAGCGACTCATACCCACGTCGACCTGAGGTTCATATGTACATGGTAATTTAATCTGAATGTATCGGACTTCTGAGGATTTTATCAGATTTAATTATAGAAGTTCGTAACAGAGCCTTAGTCAGAGCTGCCGCACACGAGGGTTGAGCTGTCGGGAAACCTTCATAGCTTCCCAACACCCCCATTCAACTACTGCTCGACACTCCAGTACCGGAATGCAGGAGTTCTACAGAGTTTCCAGCCTCGCCTCGCGATCTGAGTTTTGAAGGGTCAATGCAAAGGGGAACTCCGGAATGAACCAACAGCGGCGCGAGTCGTGCGACGGCCCAAAAGGTTACCTGGTGGAGCACTGATCTTCGCCGCTGAGTTTGACGCGTAATTTACCCTCTCTTTCACTGTAGGAGACCACGTAGAGACAAAATGACTTGAGCTGGATTCCGTCTGGAATGATAGAGAACTCTAAGGTCGAAAATATCTGCTAGGATATGTCAGAATTACGGAAGCTCTCGCCGAAGCTGAGCAGTAGGTACATCAAGGAGGATGACTTCCCGTGGCGTTTGTACGTCTTCAGGGCGCATGAGTGCGAGGGCGAGAACGGTGACAAAGATGTCCGCTCGTTCGACCGGGGAGAAATGGTAACGTCGGCTGTAGACGATGGATGCTGTTACTAGGTCCATGAGCAGCCGAGAAATACATGATACCCGGCTCTTCGGAGCGGGCTTTCTACGGTATCGTTCCTTGTCAAGACTACTTAGCTACACAGCCAGGGAGCCTCGGAGGGAAATTGCGCCAGAGGCAGGAGACAGGTTGAATAATATTTTTACAATAAGAGCCAGGAGTACTTTGAACTAGTCAGCCTCAGCTCAGTTGACATAACCGCGTCGACTAGTAATAGACATTCATCTACTCGGAACTCGCGGCGCCAGTGCTACTACACATTCCCATAGTCAACTTCTACGCATTCTGTAGTAAGCTCATGTACCCAATCGTCGTATCCAAAATGTTCGCAATAACGTCTATGCCCCTCGAATACATCAGAGGCGTATTCTGGCAGAGAAGCCTCAACTGTAAAATTTAGCATGACCTTGCCTCAGACGCAACCTGTAGCTCAACCTTCCCTGCTACTACGGAAGACCAGCCAGATATGAGAGACTCATACTGGATCCTGTCGGCGGTCACTGGGAGGGTTAAACGCAGCTCACTCAAGGTAAGCCCACGTTTCGTGCGATACGCCAATGGCTCCTGAAGCTGGGCAACCCAGTCTCCCAGAGATATGCCATCAGAGACCGGTACGTCATCGAACGGTTCGAGGCGAAGAATATTCAGCTCCGGGACCAGAGGCTCGTCCTCGCCGTCTCGCAAAGCGTCCCCCAAGGTGCGTGTCGCCTGCAGGACAGAAGTTCCCCGGATCAGAAGCTCCTGCAAGGCGGGCATGGCGCGGAGCACGGCGCTCCAGGGAGACGTGCCGCTACTCTGGTGCTCCGAGGTTGTCCATATGAGCAACCGGGTGACCTTTGTGACGGGGAGTCCGCTCAGAAAAGAGAGCATGTCTTCCAATGTGTCATTTATAGTGTAAATATTGAGCACCGAACGTTCTCCGGGAGGCCCGTTGGCAGCATCGGCCACTGCCCATAGCACCAGTCGAACGCTACGCCCGCGTTCTTCAACCAGAACAGATCGCACCTCTGGAAGATGGCCCAAAATGCCGTCTCGTCGCCCATATTTGGCTCTCAGCGCGGTCGCCATTGTCAGGATATCATATGAGGACGAGTGTATGCGACGTTGCAGTCTGACGGAGGTATTTGCAGGGAAGGCGATATGATGTAATAAGTACACAGAGAGTGCCATATCTGTTGGATCGTCGACAGAGACGGTACGAAGGCGTGGTAAAGGGATTATCTGCGTTGACATCCATTGGTCTTCGAAAACATGGTTCAAGGTGCCATTCGGCGGCCAATGCAAAGCGTTGCGGAGAGAGAGGCTCTCGACGAGAGGACAATTAGAGAGGTAGGTGACCAACTGCTGGGGGGTGAGAGGAAAATCGAGATCGTATAGGACCAACGTGGTCAGGGACGAACGAAGCAGGCCGCGACATATGCCAACGTGACCGCCAACACAAGAGAAGCTCTGAATGGCAGGGAAGTCCATTGTCGGAAATATGCACGGAGATGGGACGAAGTCTCGATAGCTCAGACCGTAGAAATTGAGAAGTAGATGTTGCAAAGGCGTTTCGCGCGGAGTCTGTACATCTTCATGCCGCATGAGCGCGAGGAGGGGAGTAGTGATGGCGATATCCGCACGTAAGACCCGAGAGAAATGCGGCAAAACGGTTTTAAAAGCATGAATGCCATTATTGTTATTGGGTCCACGAGCCGTTGGGGCGGACATGATTTGCACCGGCAGCTGTCCAGCTCTTCGAAGTAGATCTTCCACGACGTCGCTCCTGGTGAGTACGATACGGTTACAAAGCCGAGGAGATTTCTGGGCTAGGTCTCTCCATAGGCGACAGACAGATCTGACGACATTCCAAGAGTAAGGGAGAGGAAAGCGTGAGGTATATACCGCCCAGGTACCGACGCCGTCTTGGTACGCGCCAACCTCTTGCACAATGAACCATTCGATAATTTCGGCCGAGAGTTCCGAGGGCAGCTGATCCATTGTAGGGCGTGCCAATTGCTCTATTGACACAAGTAGTCGTATCTTCAGGATCCCTTCCTACTTGAGTCACAGCACATACCGTCATTCGAGCCAGTCAGAGCTGGTAGCGTGAGATTTGAGCTTTCAGAGACTGTAGCGCACTAAGCCATATGGTATATAGCCCCTAGATGGTCATAATTTCGTCAGTTTATCATGTGTTTGCCCACAAGCCCATGGCTTACTGGAGTATCCGAGTTTGAACAGTGAGGGAGGATGTCAAGATCGATGACAAATGCGTAGCAACTGACCCAGCGGTCCGGGCGTCTACATGTGCTCAGACAAAGGATACCTCTCATACCGTTGACAGAAGAGACCGCTGGAGAACCAGGATTGTGATGCAGCCTGGTCTGATACAGATCTCACAGAGGCCCCTCCCACTAATTCTCTTATATTATCTATTATTTAAATTGATATAATAAAATCTGTACAACCTCAGATGTGTCGGGTGACGATTGTCATGTGGATTACAACACAGGCGTCTAATAATTGATTGCATCGTATCATGCACAGGTGGTAAGCGCAGTATTTTTCTTGAGAAAACTCAGGCAAAAGCGGCTAAACAAGGCCCAGTTGTTCCTCAATTCTACGCCAATGCAAACTGAGGAGAAACTGGTGCAAAGCCAGCCAAAATGGTCTAAAACACAGTAAAACTGGCGGAAAACTGAGTTTTGCCTTCGGTTTTTTTCAGGTGAAAACCGGGAAAAGTTGGGGCCTTGTTCAATCAGTTTTTGGCCAATTTTACGCCAGAAAAAAGCGCGCTCATCACCCAGTGTTGTGCTCATATTGTACAGCTTAACCAAATGATGATTCGAGTGAAGAATCCCGAGGTATTGTTCAAGTTCTACTGCGACATGAGTACTTCGGTACGTTACAAAATAGTGAGATTCTCGCTGCTTTTGCTTGAAGGTCCTTGGAATGGAGTTCATCGACGGTAAGACCTTGGCCCACCGGCCTTCACTTACCACTGGAGCCGCTCACGTTTTCCGGTAGGGCCACATTTTACAGACTTCAAGCCCCACTTCGTCGGCTACAGTGAGGGTAGCGAAGACCTCAGCAGTGAGGGAAAGCATCAACGTCGTCGCGATCGCGAGGACATCCTCGAGCTTATCCAATTCATGGCACCGAAAGCGATCCAAGCGTCCAGGGCTACGCATCCGGTAATGCTGACCCCGGCCGTGGTTTTGGTCATATTGTGATCTCTGTCCATAGCGTTGAGGAATGTTGCGCTCGCCTCGAGTGGCTCAGCGTCCCCTTCAAGAAGCGTCTTACTGATGATCACATAAAGCACCTTGCCTTCTGCTTGGACCGCGATGGGGATCATGGGTGAGCCGCATCCGGACGCCTAATGTGAAGATCGAGTGCTGAAACATGCTCGCAGCTACTGGCCTGAGATTGTCCTTCAGGGGGGCTTTCTCAGCGCTCCGAGTCGAAGCTCGCGAGCTTGGATTTTAGTGCATGCAACATGTACAAGAGCGTCCTTCGTACATAGTAGTAGGAAGCGGGTAGTACGCTGCCGACCTCGTGTGTGCGACCGTTTCGTTTGCTGTGCTTAAATGATCGCATACAGCCTGCCATTTTGAGCAGAAGCTATACAGGGTGCGTTTCGGTGAGATGCCGTTCAAGACAGCTGTTTTGCTTGCACGCCCTTCAAAACATGGCTCGCGCACATGCCCAGATACCTACTATGTAATCGTCTCCGGGCACGTACTGCCTATGTCCCGTGCCACTGCGCACCTGACCACAATTGCTTGAAAAGAAATAATGTGCAGGACGGGAAGCACATTCATATTCCTGTGACCGTACACCTTCAGTACTTCAGTACTATGCGCCACAGCATTAGCGTCTATCAGATGAAAGATTTCGATCTTCGTGCGCGGGCACTGTAGGCTGAAGTTTCTATCGTCCGCGCCGGACTTAGGCATCGCCGCGACGCCGTAAGGGTATAGTATGGACTCATCCGGCGCAGTTATGGACGGAGGCTGGGAGTCCCCGCCGGCTCTGAGCTGGGAACATCTGGCTAAAGCCCACCACCGAGAAGTCCCCGGCTGATTCGTTACCTGGGGTCAGGTCGGCTCCGAGGGGCGATTCAGGCGAATTTCCAGCAGGAGTGCAGTCTGAGGATTTCGATATTGGCTCGAACTGGGCTCTGAATACATCCGCCAGCATCGGGGGCGTGCTCTCGGCGGGATGTTTTACCCTGCAGAGTGACAGAGGCGCTGGCAGGGAAACCGATGTGATGTAGAAAACACAAGGGGAGTTCAATGCCGCGTTGCCCACGGAGATATCATGACGGTGTGGGAGACTTCAAGTCTGGCCTACAGCTCGAACAAGCCCGGCCAGTAGAAGGCCCACTCTTTGGTCCGGCGGGCTGTTTCAGGGGACTTGTCGACGGAAAGACGCTCGAGAAGAGGGCATTCTAACAGAAAGACTGTAAATTCTAGGGGAACGAGCCCGACATCCAGATTATACAAAGCTAGCATTGTCGGATGCGAGCAGAGCAAGCTGCAACATATGCCAACATGCCCGCAGACTCAGGTAAGGCTTCAAGTTCTGATGACAGGGAGATCTAAGGTCGGAGATATCTGCTTGGATTGGTCAGAGCTACGGAAGCTTTCGCCGAAGTTAAGCAGCAGATACTTCAAGATTCTCATCGTGCCGCAAATCTTCACGGCGTATGAGCATAAGCACTAGATTGGCGACGGAAATGCTCGTGCGCTCGACGGGGAAGGACTACGATAACGTCAGCTGAAAAGGAGAATCCTGTTACCGGGCTCATGAGCCGTCGGGGGCGGATGTGATGTGAAGTGGGTGTCTACCAGCTCTTTAAAGCATATCTTCAACGACGTTGCTCTTGTCAATGATTTGGCTACAAAGCCAAGGAGGACTGACAGTTAAGTCCTGCTACCTGCGGCAAACAAGCTTGATGACATTTTAGAAGCAGGGTAGAGGATCTAGTGTACCGCACCGCCGGATTTGGACTCCTCTCCGCTTATGTTGTAGCGACCACGTAACTTTATTTGAGCCCCTAGCCCAGTTGGCACCACTGAAAGCCGTAAAACATCCGTTTGTATATCATGATCATATTACACCTGCACAGACTCTGCGTTAGTTAGTTTAGCGTAATTGAGTCCACGATTCTGTGGCTAACGGGAGGATGTCCGGTTAGATGATAAAGCGAACAAATCGGATCTACGGCCTTAAGCGCCTAACATGGAGCCGGACTCCGAATACCTCGCATCATCTTAATTCCTCCACACCGTTCCTTGCTCGAAGTTGACCAGCGATGTCGGACTCTGAAGATCTGAGGTCTTCTGTAATACATACACTTCATGCCACAAATTTGTCAGTAAATAAAAAGCGCCTAGCTTTGTGGCGCGGTGATTATCGAGCGCTGGAAGCTTTGCAGTCATTCTTCAAGCTTCCATCTCGAGAGATCCAACTCAAGTTTATGCATCTTTGGAGCTCTCCCTCGGGAAAGATGGACACTAGCCTAACATCAGTGCCAGACTTCACCGATATGCAGCACTTACCTTCCACGTTGTCAGATGTCTTCGCGAGACGAACTTCCGTGTATATCAAAGCAAGCTCTCACAAGGTTTCGGCGAATCGACTGATGTCATCTGCAAGATGGTCCTCAACGGGGATTCTAACCGGCTCGAAGACGAAGCTGAGTTCTGCTCCAACAAGCTGAAGATCTTGCAGAGCTCAACGGTGCCGATATTACATGGTCTCTTCACACGGACCTACGTTACTTCATCTGGCCGGAGCCCATGCACCGCTATCTAGAGCAGCCTGTGCTGTGATATCTGACACAGTGGTATCGGCCATGCACGTGTCATGGAAGACCACGACGACCGACAAGACTTCGAGAAGGCAATAAATGAGTCGATACTAGTATTTCGGAAAATACTGCTCAATCTTGACAAGAACTACAACGATATCAACCCCCGCTGACATTCGAAAGAATATTTGCGCTCATTGAAGTCTCAATACCTATCGGGAATGTTGAGTGCTGAACGTTGAACGCTGAAGCCTGAGGTCGATGACTGGTCGCGGCATAATTATTACACTGTCTTTGGGTGTCTAAGTAGCGAGCTACTGTGAGTAAGTAAAACAGACTATACCGTGCGCTTACCTGTATTACTAGACAAGAGGCTGCTTCGCTACACTCCGTGACTGCTGTCCTCGTGGATGTGGTTCTGCGGGCGTGAAATTTAAGCTCAAAATTTTCGATTTTACTCGCTGCGAAGAACGGCGCGCATAGGTCTGCAGCATGGAAAGCCACGCTGCGCGCGGCGTCAGCAAAGGAGAGCGGAAGCAAATATGGTATCCCATCAAGGAGAGTGGCGAAATAGGGGCATATATAAGATGAGGGATGGGAGAGGGGGGCTCATGAAGCAAGTAAAACAGCGATAAGAAAATCGTTTCTTATTTTGAGGGCATCTGCGTAATAGTATAGTAAGGCTTACCCATGTTGCTCGAAGATTGCGTTCGGTAAGTGCTGGGATTCGCGAGGAGGGTGCCTCATTGGAAAGGGTCCATGATGCCAGTAGGAGTTGTGACGGTGATACCGTTGAGGTTTCTGGGATCAGATGCCAATAACTCTATCCTGTATCTCGGTGGCAAGAAAGTGTTGAATCCTTGTATCAGTGTCGGGTTCATCTGGAATAGCGTAGACACACGGTGAATGACACCTGGGGTGTCAATCCTGCATTAGCGAGTAAGTACACGGAAGTATTTTGAACTTGAAGATGCATTCGCGAAGAAGGGAGCGTTGTTCATATGGGCCAATTCCACTTCACTCCATCCCAATACAGACCCACCCTGCCGGCGGCCCAACCACAGATAGAATCGAAGCGAAAAGAGCACTCACGCTTGACTCCTGAAGTCCTTCATGATATCCAAGAAGTAGCTGTACACATCCGGCTTGTCTTGAAATGCACCTTTACGGCATCCAGATATCCCAGCGCGTCAAATACATTCAAGGGCCTCGCTACGCCAGCGTCGGCGACCTGGTGACTGCAGGACACACAGGCTGCGTGCTCTCTGCCATGAGATTCGCAGCAGCTTGTGGCGTAAGTGACCGAAGGGTCTTGATCTTCGAGGGAGCTCTGGGGGTCAAAGGGAGGGACCCTGGCGGGTTTCTGTTGTTCGTCTCTCTATCATTGAGGAGATCGAGAGTCATCAGGTCCGGCTGAAGGAGCACCGACACGCTTGCAGGGTGGTGCAGCGGGTTTGGAGACGTTCGTGGAGAGGAAGGGCGTTTGAAACTTGTGGATGCACCGGAGCTGGAGGAAGCATTTACGTCGTTTGCCTGCACCAGCTTCGCACTGGGACCGAGTGGATTACCGCTAGAGGCTTGCAGGGTCGCCTCAGCTTTCGATTGTCAGACGCTGGGCGGTCGTTGGACCTCGAGGATTGTTATGTCCATGGTCGAGTGGGTACACAAAGCGGTCAGACAAGCTGCACATGAGAGCAGGAAGCTCCATTGATCTGGTCTCCATGTTGGAAATTCTATATCCCCTTCAGGTGATGCCACGGGTGCACTCATTCCTCGCGGCCACACTGCCTTGACGCCGCACAGTGTCCTACTCCACAGATAGGATCCAGGCTCTGCTTACTTGAATGTCTCACTGCATTACACTAGGGGAGAATGATCTGTAGCCGAGACTGTGTTTTATGTAAGAGCTAAATTCACGCAGTAGCTTGGAAAGCCATTGAATAACGTATTACTAGCTTAAGCAGAAATAGACCGTTTAGACCAAGATGATATGCTGCTATAGTTAGCCACTGCACATAACCCTAATGTCCGCAACTTTTGATACTTCAGAGGACCATTCAGAAACGAGCTGAGTAAGTCGGACTGCGCTCGCGCCTTCCGAGAAGTAGATACGCAGATTGTCTAGGACGAGGCCGCGTTCCGCACGGCGCGCTAGTGGTCGATGTAGCCGGATGGCGAATTCTGACGGAGAAATATCGTTGAGGACTGAGCTATCCAGCACCTCGAGGTGAAGTACTTTCAGCTGCGGTGACAATGTGTTTTCTTGACTATCCAGGGCGGCGCTCTCTAAGGCATCCATCACCTCCAAGGTAGAGACCCCCAGGACTCGAAGCTCGCGCAAAGCGGTCATAACGCCGAGTACGGCATCCTTCCACTCGTCCGTATACATAGCTGGGTGACCATCGAGAGCGGGAGCACGCTCAGTATAGAGAGCACGTCTGTTAATTCGGTATTGAGCGTGCGAATCTCGAGCACGGGTGAATCTTGAGACGATCTAGAAAGAAGAGCGCTGTCTCCTCCCCGAAATACCGCCCATATGCTCGGCCCATACACTTCGATCATTGCCGACCGTATCTTAAGAACTTGACATATTTGTCCCTTGTACTTGGCCCACCTGAGCACTGTCGGGGCACTGTGCGAAGATGAATGTACGAGATGATACAGTTTGGTGGATGTGCTTGCGGGGAAGGTAATATGGTACAGTAAATGGAGAGACAGAGAGGGATGAGCTCTGTCTTCGACCATCATGGTGCGAAGGTGTGGTAGGGACACCGTCTGCTCCGGTGCCCACGGGCCTTCGAGAACGCCCGAGGTGCCATCCGGCGGCCAGTGCAGCGCGTTGCGAAGAGAGAGATGTTCGATGAGATAGCAATCCAAGAGATGGACTATCAATTGCTGAGGATTGAGGGGGAAATTGAGATTGCACAGAGTCAGTGTTGTCAGAGACGAGCAGAGCAGGCCTCGACATATGCCAATGTGGCCGCCGAGACAGGTGAAACTTCGGATGGCTGCAAAGTCCATTGTTGGAAAAATGCGCAGAGAGTGGTCAAAGTTGTGATAATTTAAACCGCGGAAGTTAAGGAGGAGATGTTGTAGAAGTGTCGCATGTGGCTTTTGTACATCTGTGCGGCGCATAAGCTCGAGGTGGTGCTCCGTGACAATAATGTCCGCCCGTTGAACCTGAGCGAACTGTGCTAGAGTCCAGCGGAGAGCACAAACGTCATTATCGATGCTGGTTGCATGTCGTGATTTGGTGGACACAACGCTAAACGGGGTGCACGCACGGCACGGCGTGGTGGACATAATCTGCACCGGGAGCCGTCCAGCTCTTCGAAGTAGATCTTTCACGACGTCGGTTCTCGTGAGCACAATTTGGCAGCAGAGTTGGGGCATATCGAGGGCTATATCCCGCCATAGGCGGCAAACGAGTTTGATTATATTCCAGGAATAAGGGAGGGGAAAGTTCGAGATGGGGACTACTCGGATGCACGTGGCGTTGCGTAGTGTGCCTCCGCCTCTTGCTCAATGAAGCATTCAAGCACCCTAGCGAGAAGTTCCCGAGGTAGTTCGTTTATGTCTAGCGACGCTGAGAATCTTTCTAATACAATGCGGCCCGGGTCACCGAGACCACTCCGCTCGTGTCGTAGCAGCGACGTACCGACCGGCATCATGAAATCCGAGTCGAGGTTGTTCGACTACGCAGTGTATGATACCTATATAGCATACCCTAGTTAGCGAGTCGCAATCCTGATTATTACTGCAGTTTACCGGAGTTTTCGGGGATGGACGATGGAAGAGACTGTCGAGGCCGACGATAACGCATGCGATCAGAGGAATAGGCGTCTATAGTGCCGGACTCCGGATACCCGTTACCGACATGTCCACCGCGAGCCGTCAGCACACAATTATCCAAAAGATAGCGTTAATGCTTACCAGAGTCTCAAAATCTTAATGCCAGTAGGAGGTGTCAGATGCTGAGCGCTGAGCGCTGAGGTGCGATGCCTCGAGCGTAACAGGCCTGGTATTCAAAGCGTCTATGTAGCAGGACACCGGCCATCGCTCATCGTTGAATGTAGAACATCCAGCACCGGGATTCCACAGCGTATGTCGCATCTACCAGGAAAATACACGTGTATAAGAGGTGTATCAGATGTGCAATAATATATTCTGTCTGGTATGCAGTAAGTATTAGGTTCCTGGGCTCATGCAAATAATAACTTAATGTACACAACGACAACGAGGACACAATGCAATATGACGATACATGATAAAAATAATGCGACAACAAAACGCGACAATAGTGTGGACAGTGACAGGACGGAAATGAACGGAAGTGTCGATCGAGATAGATGAAATATGGCTACAACATTGAGTTCGGATACTCATGGGGATAAGGGAAGTAAGAAAGATAGAAGCTGCTGCAATGTCCGTACGTCAAAAGCCGCCCCGGAACGTCGTGCAGAGACGTCGCCGCCGTCGCTCTTGTTCAGGGCAATGATTTGCCTGAGCGTCAGCGACGCGAGCGCGTTTTCAATTCGGCAAGACAGCGAGTCGAGGAGTAACATCAGTTCTGCGTCCGACGCCTTGTCGATCGCGGGTAACAGCACCTCGGGGTTGCCGTACACGAACACGGGGTTCGGGTCCTGACGGACCTCGTCCGCTGTCTTCACCGTGCTGCTCTTGCGGACGGGCAAGGGTCGGAAGACGCGCGACGTCGTGAGCGCCTCAAGGCGGACGCAAAGTAGGGCAAGCTCCTTCATCTGCTGCACGCTGAATTGCACGCGCGAGCCTGACAGCGAGTCTGTGCGGAGACTCTCGAGGTCGTGGCGGCCCGCGAGCTCATGCGGGTATACAAGGGATATGCTTTCGGGTGCTTCAAGGCCTTTGAGCTTGACTTCGCCGACGGGTATAATCTTCAATCCGAGCCGTATAATCGCCTCGACAGCTTTGGGAGGCTGTAAGTGGGAATGCTCCGTTCGCGATTCTGACTCGAAGACGGATGCGTTGATCTCACGGATGACGTCGGCGCTGACGGCGATTTGCCCGCCCTGGGCGATACCACTGATACGAGAAGCGCGGTTGACGACCGGACCCAGATAGTCCATGCGATGGGTGGTCGGATCAGGATCAGGGATAGGGTTGCCACAGTGAATGCCCATTCGGACAGACAGTCCACGAGCAACCAGCTTTCCCTCCTTGTCGCGGATTTCCTTCCCGTCTTCACACTCGAGGATCTCCAGTGGCCATGGCAGCTGGGTCAACTGGATTTGCACGTTCAGACACCACCAGAGCGCAGCCATCGCGGTCGGGAACGAACACATGAACGCGTCCCCTTCGGTCTTGACCTCGTATCCGCCACAAAACCGCAGCTGCCGCCTGAGGAGGGTGTTGTGGTACGAAATTGCAGTTTGCATGCCGCCGTTGGCTTCCCACAGGTGTGTCGAATTCCGGATGTCCGTAAAGACGAGTGCGACATGGCCCTGCGGAGGCGGAATCGGCGGGATTGCGTCGTCTAGGCGCGACACATCTCTGTCGGTAATCTCGTCCTTGTTCTGACGCCGCAGGGGGCGAGGAACCTCAATGTCAAGTGAGATACACGAATCGAAGGTGTGTTGCCGTGACCGCGACGGACCCAGACCGAAGAGATCTGATACCGAAATGACCATAATCATCGTCGTGCCCTCCGCGCCGTAGCTGATTGCGAAATCGCGCAGCTTTTGTGCTGCGATCATGGGATTATCTCTCGACGAGCGAGCGATGTCAACTGCTGTCTGGTGCGAGACGAAATCCCACAGTCCGCGATTGCCAATGATAACAAACTCGTCCAGCTCCGAGAGCTCCCAAGTGATGACATCAGGACGGGCGTTGACGATCGGGAACAGGTAATAGAAGCCAAATGAGCGTGAGACGTCGATTTCGTCGTTGACAAAGCCCTTCGGAGAGACCCAGCCTTCCGCAGCGCGTATCCTGGCTGTCTCCTGTCTATCGAAAGGGTCGTGTTTGTGGGAGAGTAGTTCGGCGGTGCCCTGTCGGGAGATAACGGCAAGAGCATTGCCTGCATTGGCGACATAAAGGGTCCGGTTCACGAAGTATAGCACGATGCCCGACGCACCACTCCGCAAGCTGGAATAATCGACGCTGGGAGTGCTTGTGGCGTTGTCCGCGCTCACCGTTGACGGCCGGCGGGTGTCGCGTGCGAATAACCAATCATGTAGCCCCTTGTTAAGTTTCAGGAAGGACCGCCGCATGGCATCAGCAACTGTCTCCTCTCGCTCATCCAGTCTCTCAATCTCGCGCAACAGAGCAGCTGGGTAGTTGTCGTGCAGCCATTTCGACAGCCGGTTGTTGCTGCCGATGTGCGACGCGCGCCCAAACATGGCGAAGATCGCCTCGTTCTCCCTGCCTCGGAACTCGGGCTGTACTAGATCGAACATACTGAGGTTCTGACCAAGTGTATCCGCGATACCGTACGCCATGTTAGAGACTTCGGATAACGAAGTTCGCACTCGTCGATCTTCGTTATCGTCAGGGATATTTGGGGCGAATGTGGTAGTTACGTCCATCAGGCCAAGAATTTTGAGCTCCTTCAGCTCTGAAAAGTCGGCCAGCTTGCGATCGGACCCGTCTTTGAACGGCGCAGCTTTGTGATCCGGCCTAATCTCAAGACGCTTGTTACCAGACAAGTTCAGGTAACGCAAATTTGTGTTGAAATTCCTATCATATTCCCGTCAGTACCTGTTATCACATGCGCATATATACACACTCACCAGTTCCAGTCGAATTCCCAATTGTTGATGTTATACTTGAGGACGTTGCTCCCGACGTCAAGCACCTGGAGCTCCCTGATCTTGCCCAGCTCTTGCGGCAAGCTTTGCAACTTGTTCCCGTTGAGGTAGAGCACGCGCAGGTTTGACAGCGACGGCAGGTCCTCCGTCGGGAGCGCGGTCAACATGTTGCCGCTCAGGTACAGCTCTTCGAGGTGCTGCAGGTTCGTGAGGAACGCATTCGGGATCACCTGGATGTGGTTGAACGACAGATTCAGCACCCGCAGCTCGCGCAGCAGCGTTAACGGATGCAGGTGGTCCTCTGTCAAACGGTTCTCGCCAAGGTACAGACGCTTCAGTGACGCAACGAGTGGAGGTGCGCCCCGCCCAAGCGAACTCGCAGACGACGGTTTGCGCTCTCCGTAGCCGTTAAGCAGGGGTGTCCCGGGGGACAACGAGATGCTCGCCGATGACGAGGCCGTAACGTCAAAGATAATCGGGTTGTTGATGTCGCCGAGGAGGTTCGACGTAAGGTTGATCAACTCGAGCTTCGAGCACTCCCAAATCGTGGGAGGCAGCTTATCAAGGCTGTTGTTGTGCGCCTCGAGCGTCTCGAGGTTCTGTAACCGCGCGATCGTCTCGGGAAAGGTGAACAGCTGATTATTCGCGCAGCTGAGGTGCCGAAGCTGAGCGAGCTCGCCGATTGAGTCCGGCAGCGCGCGGATGGAATTATGGTCGACCTTGAGGGTGCGCAGCGATGTAAGCTGAGCGAGCGCAAGTCCATCTAGCGAGGACAGCTTTGCGTGCGAGATGTCCAGCATCACCATGGCGAAGGGCTGGGCCTCGAGGAGTCCGGGGAGGAGGGTAAGTTGCGTGATGTCGTTGTGCGATGCGTCGAGCGACTGCAACGACGGACCAAAGGAGAGGTCCAGCGCATGGACGGTGTTGTGGTCGGCCATGATGGTCTCAACCTTAGGAAGAAGACAAACAGTAGCGAGGTCTGAAATCATGTTCCGCCGACAGTCCAGGAAGCGCAGCTTCCTCAGGCCTTGCGCACCGCGAGGGAACCTTGATATCTGGTTTCCGACGGTAATCAGCTTCTCAAGATGCTCGAGGTTTCCGATTTCCTCAGGTAAGTCCGCGATCAGGTTGAAAGAAATGTCGAGGTCAATGAGGTTCGTCAGCCTGCAGACAACGTCAGGGAGCTCTTTGAACTTGTTGTTCGAGATGTTGAGCTCTCGCAGGGACTTCAGCCTCGGAAAGTACCAGGGTAGCTTCTCCATCCCGTTGTTCTGGAGCTTGAGCGATCGCAGCCCCGAGATGTAGTCCAAGCCGGCATCCTTGAGGTCGACAATGCGATTACATGAGAGGTCCAGCCGGTGCAGATTTTCACAGTGTCGAACGCTCTGCGGCACTTTCTTCATAGACATGTTCTGCAGTCGCAGAACGCGAAGGCTCGCACACAGTTGGATGAAATCCAGGGGAATTTCAAGCATAGGATTTCGAGATAGGTTTAGCGAGACGATGTTCTCGGCATGACTGTATAGGATGACGGGCACCGTCTTCAATGCTCTTGCGGCAAGATCTACGTGCTCAAAATCGTTGAAAATGAGGTCGTCGTCCTGGAAATTCACGGCATATAAGCACCCGTCGCGTCGGAACAAGGGCGATCAACCCACCGCAGGACCCAGTACGTTGCTCTTGTACACAAACTTCATGAGATACTGGATGTCTTCCCCCGCCAGCGCCCGAAAGTCGTCGACAGGGTCCCACCCTGCTTGTTCTAGTCGTCGTCGCACGATGTTCGCCGGTTTCTCCGTCATCGCCAGTAGTCGCTCTGTCCAAACCGTGAACACCCGCGGCAACGCATGAAGACAAAGTAGCACTCACCTCGCCCCCGTTCCTTCAGGTATAATCTATGCATCTCTCGGTTGGTATCAAGCAGCATTTTGTTGTTAAGGTATGGTACAAGCTCGGTCACGGTGGACTTGAGGGAAATTGTCGCAACATGGTACGTATTGTCCCTCCGATATATGCGCACCGGATATGGGTCGTCGTGGTCGTCGTTCGAACGCCGCGGCCTGCCTGAGACGCTGAGCGTGTATCGCTTCCTGCGATTCCGTCGCCCGACCGGGCTTCGTGGCCTGCTGACATCTTCGCCCTCAGAGCTCGTACCTTCTGCCACTTCCTCATCGATCCCAGTCTTCGGTTCGACAGCCCAGCTTTCAGGAGCCTTCCACAATGAGTCTTCGTGCCCTCGTATCGTCGGCACACTAGCACTAGCAGGGAACTGTGCTGGGTTTTTTGGCGAGATGTTACGGTGCTCCCAGCTGTGCAATCCTATCTTGCGCTTCACGCCGCCGGCTGGCGGCTGGAAGGGGTTCGGGTTGCTGAAGATCCCGTGCGGCGCACTGGGCAGAGACGATGTCGAGGCGTGGTGATAGTGATGTGAAGACGAGCCGTCGGAGGTGAACGCACTCGAGTACGCAGATGACTCTAGGCCACTACTCGGGGAGCTCGGCGCGTTCTCGTAGATTCCACCCCGCTGTAGCATATAGTATTTATCAAAGTCGACGATGCCTTCCATGTCGTTGATGTCCCGGTTGAGAGGGTATTCAATATCCTTAGAAGGAACAGGTGGCGGAACATCTGCGGTCTTCTTGCCCTTTCCGAGCAAAGGCACCGCGAGACGAGAAGTAGAGGAGTGGGCAGGCGGAGAAGCAGGTGGTGGCACGTAAGGAATATAATCAGGAGAGGGGGGCACTGGCGGAACAGGGTAATCGTTGGTACGAGAGAGGTCAAGCTTGGCAGGCCCCAGACGACTTTTCGATCTTGTCCTCCTAACTATATTGCTGAGAAACGATGCAGACGACTTCTTCTTCTTGAGATCCCTGTCTGATCGAGGATACTCGTTCAGGTGGGTTGTGGATTCGGCCAGAGTGCTGTTGAGACTCTGGTTGTCGGTGCCTGTGCGAATGCTCGAAGCGTTTGACGGCCGAGGACGAAGTGAAGGGAGGGACGACTTGAAATTCTTGTGTCTATTCGACGGAACAGGCTGGAATGACGCATGGTTAGCGATCTCCCACTGCCAGCCTTCAGAAAGCAAATGTGGGAGTGCATTTCATTCCCCTCAAGTTCAAGCAAGCAGACGCCGCTTTGCGCCCAAGAAGAATTACGTGACGCAGCGCATGTCTCCTAAAACTTCATACGGGTTAGTTAAAATCTCCGCCGAGAGCTGTGCACGTACCTCTGCGCTCCCATCACCCGAGCCATGCAAAGCGGCGTCCCGAACACTGCCCGCAAAAGGGGAACATGTAAGAAAGCACGTACCAGATCCTGCTCAGTCTCCGCCGGCAGGCCTACGACAAGCCATGGCGCGATTATGTCGGTGTCCGTCGAGAGCGGCGCATGCGGCTGCAGGTCTTGCGGGGGAAGGAAGTCATCGTCAAGCGAGATGGACGAGGTCGCCGACGCCATGGTTCGAGATGCTGAAGGAGCGTGTGCAGCCGGGAGCTTAGCGCGACATTCGCGAGTACGTTGGTGGTGGTGGCGGCAACGAGAGCAGCGACGGCGACGACGAGGTCAAGAGCAACCCGATGAATGACATCGAGCATTGCCCTTCGGCCTGCCGGCCGGTTAATTCCGGCATATAACCTTATATGGCGAGCTGCCGCCCACCAGAGCCGTGCGCGTCGGCGTCGGGCCTCGGGCCGATACGAGCGGGGGTGGGCTTAACGCATCAATCCCGCCCCTTGCCATTTCTGGTGCGGCGTCGCTCAGAAAATTTAGGTGACGCGCTTGTTTCTTCGCTACCACGCAACTGTCTCTGATGGCCCTCCCTTCGATGCTGCCCGTGTCGCTCCAGATCACACACCGAAGTCAAGCATGTGGTCAGGGATGCACCTGCAGTTTTTCCTTACGAGTCGGACTCACCGAGACATTGACCGGAGCGCGTTCTAGTTTCCTCCAGCTTTTCCCGACCGCCCGTGTGCTTACCCGGTCTTCAGGCGCAAGGTGCCCGGAAGCGAGAAAGGGCCTCAACCCACCGCTCCGTTAACCGCCTTGCCCTCCTGAGTGCACTCGCCAAGGCTACCGGCTTCAACTTCCCTCAAGCGAGAGAAGAGTGCAAGTAACTCTGTGACACCGCATCAACGGACAGGCACCGTTGCACAGCTGTGTCTTCGCAGTCCTGAGATCTTCGCAGCCCGAAGTGTCGCAAGAGACGGCCTCAGGCGTCTAATCTATGTGAGCTTTCGCTTCTCGTCATGCTATTCCCATTCATTTGTTCACAATGATGGCAGAGCAGTCCAGCCCGAAATGTACCGCCGTGAACGTCGGGGAGCACTGCCGCATGTGTCTTCTGCTTAAATCCACCGTTTATCTGCATTTGCTAAGGCGAATGCTGTACGGCCTGCGCAACTGTGGCCTAGTATGTGAAAATTTGGCCATACTAGGTCAGCCTGTGCTTGTATCCTATGCGCACAGCCAAAGGTCGAGCGACTCCTCCTCACAGTATGATCTGTCTTCTAGTAAGCAGTTCACACGTAAGTCGGATCGCAGTCGCCCAAAGGCCACATGAGCGGTCTGTCGTTCTCTAGGGTCTTGGTGTTAACATCTTGACAGGTTGGATCCGTTGTATACATGTTCCACGTGCGTTTCAACATGCGTCGCCATCACAATCAAGCTTTTCTCGCGTAGTTCTCTGACAGGTCGCTTGGCACGTTAAGAAATCGGGGGACAAAACCAGCGAGCTCCCCCCCCCCGCCGCGCGCGCGAGCCGTCCCTGTGAAACACATGCTTCACGGGGCCCGTGCTAGCACAGCAGGTTCTGGATTTATTGGATGGCTACGCATGCCAAATGTACTGTGGATTCCCCCCCTTCTCTGGCAGGGCTAATATTCAGATACAGATCGCATATGCAAACGAACGTTAGTCGAGAGTAATATCCTTGGCATAATTGACATAGCGCGATGTCCTCGGTGCGCCACAGACAGCCGCGTCTAGATGCGGTTTGCAATTCGCTGTTCTTCACCACGCGGTAGCAACTTCCGGGAGTCTCGCGCATGATAATTTCCGGCAGCTGAGCGCTGAGCACTTCTCTTTTGTGGACAGATGATTGAGGAGCAACTGCGACAACACTTGGTCTCAACTTTTCTGCGTGGTGTGCTACGCGTGGAAATTCATCCGCAATTTTTTTGCTATCGGAGCGACTTTTGCGTGTAGGCGCCAGGAACCGAATGCGCCCTTGCCCTTTTGCACCAAGCGCCGTCTGTTGGCATCTCTCGGTGGAGCGCGCAGGACCTCGGTGTTTACGTGTGCCGAACGTCCATGTTGAGTTCCTAGCTCGCAGGAACAGCGACGAGCGCCGCTCTACGCGACGAGGACGGCGGCGACGCGAGAGCAGCAGTCGCTGCAGGGTGACTACGAGGAAAAAAATGCAGCATAGTGAGACGAGACGTTGCTCTGCACCACAGGACGCCGACGATCAATTCTATCCCGTGTCATCAGGAAGGCTCAGATGTAGAGCTTCTTGTCCGGAAAAGGGAAAAGTCTCGTGCAGGGTCCTAGCCCACGATCCGGATGAGGGTTATCACCCATGCCCTCATTGGCGGTGTCACGGGTGATAAGGCTGGGAGGTATATAAGACCGCTTATCCCTGAAGATTTCACTCCTCTCTCTCTTGCTCGTTCCCCGACGATCACCATGTCGACCAAGGAGTCAGAGTCGAAGTATGGGTCCCACGAGAAGGATGTGGACGTCTACGTCGCTGGGTCTGACACGGAGGCCAGCCCTGAGTCCCACGGCGCCGGTGCGCACACGCTCCATAGAACGATGAAGAATCGGCATATTGCCATGATCAGGTACGTCTCTCGTCACTTTGCCTGGGGGCGCTTGGGCTCATACGCTTCCAGTATTGGTGGTGTCATTGGCACGGGTCTTTTCTTGAGTACCGCCAACTCTCTGGCAAGCGGTGGCCCCGTCGGTCTCCTCCTCGGTTATTCCATCGTCGGCTCGATTTGTTTCGCGGTGTAAGTTTTCAGTCAACACCCGCTGCTGCGCTTCGCGCTAATCAGCTTCCCCATGGGGTATGCAGCATGATCTCTCTCGGCGAAATGATTTCATACCTTCCCGTTCCCGGAGGTCATATCACCTTGGCAGAGCGTTTCGTCGATCCAGCATGGTCCTTCACTCTCGGCTGGAACTACTGTGAGTAGCTCGAGGAGCACGTCGTGGAGAGGACGTGACTGACTCGTCGCCGATTGCAGGGTACAACTGGACGATCATTCTCCCCGCTGAACTAAGTGCCGGCGCCGTACTTATAGGCTTCTGGTAAGTGTCAACACTGGCTCTGCACACCTCGGGCTTTTGCTCACTTGACACAGGACAGACAAGATCAATGACGCGGTATGGATCACGATCTTCCTTCTTGTGGTCATTGGTATCAACATGTTCGGCGCTAGTATGTTCGGGACGTCTAACTCATCGATTTTACGCTGACTAGGGCTCGTGCTCGAACAGAGGCCTACGGCGAAGCAGAATTCTTTTTCGCCTCGATCAAGGTCATCACGATTGTTGGGCTTATCATTCTCGGTCTCGTGCTCGACCTTGGTGGAGGCCCGAATCACGACCGCATCGGGTTCCGCTACTGGAAGAACCCGGGGCCGTTCGCGCAGTTTGATGGCATTGGCGGTTCCAAGGGTCGTTTCCTCGCCTTCTGGTCTGTCTTGACCAATGCTGCTTTCTCGTTCATTGGTACGGAGATTGTCGCCATTGCTGGTGGTGAGGCCAAGAACCCGCGCCGCAACATTCCTAAAGCGTACGTGCCTCGCTCTGCATCCGCCGCTCAACCTTAATCTCGTCTCTGCAGCATCAAGCGTGTGTATGTCCGCATCTTGCTGTTCTATATTGGTGGCGTCACCATCATCGGCCTGCTCGTGCCGTACACAAACCCAAATCTGAACCTCACGAAGAACACTGCCGCCAAGTCTCCGTTCGTCATTGCCATTGAGACTGCGGGCATTAAAGGCCTTCCCTCCGTCATCAATGCGGCCCTGTTGACTTCTGCTTGGTCCGCCGCATCGAGCGATCTTTACTCTTCCTCTCGCGCCCTCTGTAAGTCCCACAACTTTCGACCATCTCTCACACTCTAAATTTGTTCTCAGACGGTCTCTCGGTTAACGGTAACGCGCCCAAGATCTTCTCGCGGATTAACCGCTGGGGTCTTCCCTATGTTGCCGTGGCGACCAACTGCATGTTTGGTCTTCTCGCATACATGGCCGTCAGTGCCGGCGCGGGCAAAGTATTCGGCTGGTTCTCCAACATGACCTCCGTTGCCGGTCTCATGAGCTGGTTCGGTATCTGCGTGGTCTACGTCCGCTTCTACGCGGGTCTCAAGGCACAGGGCTTCGACCGCAAGACGCTCCCGTACTATTCGAACCTTCAGCCATACGCAGGCTGGTACGGTGTCTTCTCTACGGTCCTCATCTGCTTCGTACGTCTCCACTCTCCGCCGCATCTCCGCGTTTCGCTGACCCAGACTACGCTCCCACAGTTCAGCGGCTGGGCCGTGTTCCTCAAGGGCAACTGGTCGGCCGCCACCTTCGTGACGAACTACCTCCCCTTGATCCTCTTCCCGATCCTCTATATTGGCGCGCGCATCTGGCGACGCACAAGCTTCATCCCCGCCTCCGAGATGGACTTCCAGTCCGGCCTCGCCGAGATCGAGGCGGCGTGCTACGACGAGCCGCCACCACGCAACTGGGTCGAGAAGGCCTGGAACTGGCTCATGTGAAGTGGGCTCGTTCTGCACCAACACTTTTTCCCACGCATTATATTTACTCGAAATTGCGCACTCGCTCTGTTTTATTCGGTATGATATACTTAGTGTAACAGTAGAAAAGACTTGTAATACCCCTTCGCAGTGTTTTTTCTTGCCTGTCATTGGCTGTATTTTGCCCTTGTTGGATCCCTGGAACGCCGTGGACGTTTACGAATGATTGAATTCACAGATGCGTGCTCTATGTGCGTGCCTGGGACCCTGAGGAGGCGGGCGAGCAGCCGGTGGAAGCACCGTGACGGATGATTCTCCCGCGAAGTGTGTGCTCTTGCGGAAGCTGTCGGCTAAATAGCTATAGCGGTAAAGAACGCACACTTGGTTGGCTTTCGGGTGCGAGCGCACTCTCGCAGCCGAACGGTCCGGGCGCGCCAGCTCCTCAATCGCGTTCAAAGCTGCGACCGCGATGTCGTGTCGATGAAACTAAGCCTTGTATCTCTGACTTGTTTTGACCGTGCCCCACACGAGCTGCGCGCGCGCGTCTGTGACTCCGCAAGCGTCCGCCTCGGAGGAGACTGCTCATTCGTGCATGCTGGTGTGCGTTCGGTCGCTAACGTGCACTATCGTGTGCGTAAGTGCGCTAAACTCCGCGAAAAGGTGCGCTTCACAAGGTATCTCCATCAGAATGCAAGCTCATCTTCATCAGACATGTCCCTTCGTGCGCAATCGTGCACGCCGTACGCGATTAATACACACGAACGTGCACAAACGCACACTGCTCACCAGCGCTGATGCTAACCTCAAGTTAACCGCATGCGAAACCCTGCGCGCACGACCGTGCACGAAAATGCGCCACACGCCCGTCAAGGGGCCACTGTGCAAGTTCGGGCGTTTTCGTGCGCGTTCAATCTGGCACCTGGCGCATTCGAACACTCGTTCGTTCCGAGCCGCTCGCGCACCTCTGCCCGCCAAAATGTACGTATTTCCTGTCTATAATTATATTTTTCTTCGCTCAATAACAAAGATCTGTCGACTCCCGCCTCCCGCTTTTTCCAGCCGGGGTGAGCGGAGATAAATCGAGCGCCCGAGCCGCTTGTGATGCGTAACGGCTGGCAGCATACACTACATCTGTGTACGTACATTGTACGTTTACTTCCAAACATCGCGGAAAATCTGATTATGAGCCCATGATACAGGGCAATGCGTTCTACAGTCGCCAAATTAATGACGTACGGGGTTGGGCCTCCGCACATGGTGATACCACCTTCCGTGCATCACGAGCCTGAATCTTGACTAAAAGTCCTCAGCTAATTCCCGCTGCAGCCTGTGCGGTATTGTCCCAAATGTAAGATCAGCTTTCCGATCTACCCGGGCAGGAAGTTCAGTATGCTTGATTACCCCGACGTTCGACTGCTTGCATGCAGTATCATGCGGGTATCGCGAATCTAGCCGCATGCCTACACGTTTTGAAGCGCATTTTTTAGGCCGACGTTCTTTCGTTTTTATTACCACTGTGCTTGCTTGCATGTTACTGGAGCGTTTTCTCACCCCTTTCATCCTCTTCACCATCTTCCGACGACCCAGACTGCTTCTGAGGTCATCACACACCAAAGACGATGTGCCTCCCGTTTCTGCTAGCAAAGGACGAGCGGAGGGCATCTCGCCTGTCGGACATCGTGCACGTTAGTGTGCTGTCCGTGGGATGGAACGACGCCCGGCGCAAGCAGTTCTACCGCCAGCTTTTGGATCACATCATCACGGTCTCGGGCGTCACCGCCACCATAGCAGACGGCCCGCTGCAAACCACCTCCCTCAAAATTGCGGCAAATCTCGTGAAGATCGCCGAGCTCGGACAGGTGCGTGCCCGCCCGCTCCCACGGCACTCGCGCCTGACGGCCGCCCCGCACTCACACTCGTGCGTGGTGCCGCGAGCAGGCAGTGAACGCTAACAGGGATGACTGCGACAAGCTCGTGCAGAAGACGTCAGATCATGTGAGCGTCATCAGCGACGCGCTCGGCAAGGGCAACGTCACGATCGACGCCGCCTTCCGGAGCCATGTCCTCTCATTCGTTGAGTGCGTCCGCCGTGGCGTCCATTTCATTCTGCCTGTTGTCCCTCATACATTCCCGGCAGCCAGCTTAGAAGAATTCAATACGTACTAGTGAACCTCGCGTCCCGCTCATACTGGTCTCGACTGCTGCACAACGCGGCAGAAAAGCGCGGAATCCTTGAGTGCCAAGAACAGCTCGACCAAGCGTTTGATCGGCTCCACGTTAGCTAATGCTTTTATCCCATGTGTAAGCTGCTCAAAGTTGTGTACAGCTCGCGAGCATCGTTCACACAGCCGTACAACTCAACGGCATTGCGCACAGCGTGTCGGACGTGGAGACGTTAGTGAGGGTGCATACCGCACACTGCCCGGAGCTGTACACTAACGATGCTAATACCTCACATAGCGGTCAACAGAAGACCTACGTCTGCAACTAAGCGAGGTTCACCGTGTAGTCTCCACGCAGTCCAACAGTACTCTTTCGGACACCCAGGAGCTACAGCCTTACCCTTCAATGATAGGTACTCTTAGAGCGAAGGACACACGCCGGCGTAGACCGCAGCGTCCGAGCTCGATCCTGCGAATATCCACGTACAATATCGCCTTGAGCACTGTCATCTCTGTGCTAACAGCTCCTATAGTAACATTGTCCACGCATCACTGTATCGCTGTATGAGCACGCCATATACCGCCCTGCCGTTATCGCCTCTGAGCATGCAGTGGACAGGCGCTGCCATTTCACGTGCTCGCGACACCGGCGTGCTGAGCCTGCGGACCAAGCACACCACTACTAGCCCGGAAGTGGGTACCAGGGAGCGCGAAGCCGGAGAAATGCTCGAGAGAGGGCAGCAAGATGTCGCAAAGTGCGTCTGCGCTCGTCTTCAGATACTTTGCGGGCACTGAGATTGTTTCGACGCAGAATACCCTCTCCCATTGTATTCCCTGAGACGTTGCAGTCTCAGAGGCAGCAAATAGAAGTTGCTCGTGGAGACCCCTGAACATACCCTATATATTGCATGTCCTGGATTTGCCAGACAGGTACCATTCAAATAGTGTGTATTCAACTGCAACAGCTCCCTACGCCAGACTCAGCTGCGGCGAATTATAAGCTACCAGTGGCTTTTCCGTCCAGTCCTTGTTACCACTTGTTGGACTTGTACACATGTCTTGCTCCCTTAAACATCATCGGTGGCGGTGTAAAAAGCCGTAGTGATGATTGTATGCCCCCCAGAATGCGGTGAGGCTCGTCGCACTAAATTCGGAAGGTGATCCTGGTGACCTTACGCGTACCAACGCTCGTGGATTAAGCGCTCACTAAAGTATCGCCTTGAAGTTGACTTGTGTACGAATTGGCAGGTATATTTTGTCGCCTATTATCTCAGAAAAAGCCGAATATGACCCCATGATACAGCACAATGCGCTCTACAGTCGCCGATTTAATAATGCATAAGGTTTACCGTTGGGCCCCACCTCCCTCTACACATGGTAAATACCACCTCTCATGTTTTATGAGCTTCAATCTGGGCTAGAAGCCTGTAACCGATCCCAGCTTCAGCTCTCAGCCTCTATATTGTTACTTTACATGCGCTATCAACTTTCTGATCTACTATGACAGGGGCTCGCCGGTATGCTCGATTGTCACGACGTTCGAGCACCTACGGGTGGCAGCATGATGATGATGATGCAAGCATCGCAAGGCTCATCGCACGCCCCACATGCATACTCAGGCTGCTGCTGTCTTGCTTTTACTGCCGCTGTGCCCACTGACCCGTACCGCACAAGCGTTGATTTGCTCCTTTCATCCTCTTCTCCAGGCCCATCTCCAGCCGCTCCCAAGGCCGCTACACATCGTAGACGATGTGCTTCCCGTTTCTACTGGCAAAGGACGAGCGGAGGGCATCTCGCTCGTCGGATATCGTGCACGTTCATGTATTGCCCGTGAAACGGGATGACGCCCGGCGCACAGAATTCTACAGCCAACTTTTGGACCACATCCTCACCGTCTCTGGTGTCGTCGCCATCATAGCAAACGGCCCGTTAAACATTCCCTTCCTTAAGAACGCGGCAGACCTCGTGAAAAGCATTGCCGAGCTTGGACAGGTGCGTGCCCGCCCGTTCCCACGTTGCTCGCGTCTGACGGCCGCCGCACTCGCGCTCGCGCGTGGCGCCGCGGGCAGGCGTTGAACGCCAACAAGGATGACTGCGACAAGCTCGTGCAAAAGACGTCAGATCACCTGAGCATCCTCAGCGACACCCTCGCCAAGGACAACATCACGATCGATGCCGCCTTCCAGAGCCACGTCCTCTCGTTCGTCGAGTGCGTCTGCCGTGGTACCTTTCATTTCTACTTGTCATCTCTCATGCGCTCCCGGAAGCCAACTTAGCAGAATCCAATATGTGTTCTTAAACTTCACTCCTCGTTCGTACCGGGCTCGGCTGCTGCGCAACGCGGCGGATAGGCGCGAAATCGTCGAGTGCCAAGAGCAGCTCAGCCGTGCGTTTGACCAGCTTCAAGTCAGCCTACTTTTTTCTCCTGTATGTACGCTGCTCATATTTCTGTGCAGCTGGCGAGCATCGTACACACAGCCGTACGACTCAACGGCATTGCGCACGGCGTGTCGGACGTAGAGACGTTGGTGGGGGTGCGTACTATGCACTGTGCTCGTAGCTGTGCACTATCGACGCTGACACCTCACACAGCGGTCTACAGACGACCTACGTCTGCAACTAAGCAAGGTCCACCGTGTAGTCTCCGCGCAGTCTTACCCTTCAGCCATAAACAGTACTAGAACAGAGGCACGCCGGCGTAGACCACGACGCCCGAGCTCGAACCTGCAAATATCCACGTATGTTATCACTTTGAGCATTATCGCCTCTGTGCTGAAGCCTCTTGTAGCAACATTATCCGCTCATCGCCGTACCGCCGAATAAGCACGCCATATACCGTCCTGCCGTTATCACCTCTGAGAATGCAGTGGACCGGCACCGCAATAACACGTGCTCACGATGCTGGCATGCTGAACCTGCGGAGCAGGCGCGACGCCACCGCTGTCCCGAAAGTGCGTACCGCGGAACGCGAGGCCAGGTAAGCGCCCGGGAGAGAGCGGCGAGAGGTCGCAGAGTGCGTTTGTGTTCAGTTTCGGATGCCTTGCACGCATTGAGGTTTTTCTAACGCAGGATGCCCACGTCCGTTGTATTCCCTGAGGTCTCGCGATCCCAGAGGCGGCAGATAGGGGATGCTTATGATGGACGAGAGGTAACAGTCGGGCGGGAATGACACGATACCTGGCACCAACCAGCCAAAACAAAACAAACTGCTCTCGTTTGACCGCATATGCTCAGCCAGACGTTGAAAGCACTGTACTACCCGATACACGTGTATGCAGCTACATGAGCCCCTAGAGAGAATACCTAAACGAACGATCCTCCCAGTCCGTGAGGTCACGGTCGACGTGCATGATACCCTCGACGACACTTGTCTGACTTCCGGACGAGCTACCGAGGTCCGCCTCGCGGATTTTTTCGGACGAACCCTCGGGCCGCCCCGACAGCGTGCGCACGAGCGCGTCCTTGTCGCGCCGTGCGTTCTCGTGCGCCCACGCGACGCGCAACACGAGTGCGGCAACAATCGTGAAGACCATGACGACGATGATCGCGATCCACGTCGTCCGGTACTTCTGTGGCGCTTGCTTGACGTTCACCTGAGCGGCTACGAGTCAGACGTGTATCAGCTGAAGGAGGACGTGGCGGACGTACCAAGTAAGGCCCGATGATGTTCCCGACATTGTAGCCTACGAAGATCACGCCGGTGGCGCACGCCTTCTTCGTCCCGCCTGCGACGTTCGACGATGCGAGCGCGAGGAGTAGCACGTACGGCGCACCGAAGATAGGAATGAGGTAGTACCCAAATAGTGCCAGCCCGCGCTCGTTCCATGACCCGCGCCAGAGGATGATCGCGCCGGCCATGACGGGCAAGCAGCTCACAGCGAGCCAGATCGTGCGCGTGTTTTTGTAGCGGCCGGCGAGGTATCCTGCGATGTATATCGAGACGCAGGTGGTTGCGCCGCCAGGCGTTTGCAAGAGGATGGCACGTAGACTCGAATATCCAAATGACTAGGCGCCGCGATTAGCGGAAGCGCAGAGGACGACGGTTCTCGTGCGCGGACCTTGATTATGAGAGAACCAAAGGCGGTTACGCCGCCGTTGCAAACATAGATTGCGGCACTCATCGCGCCCATGAGCCAAATCTTGACATCCTTGAAGGCCTCATAGATTTGTGCCTTCTTGATCTCCCGGACATCTGCACCTGCCAGATTTCCGCGCATGCGCCCGATGAGGATGGCACGTTCGGACTCGTTGAACCAGCGATGCGACGTCGCAGGAGAATCAGGGAGGACGACCAGGACGATAAATGACCAGAAGATAGTGATGCTCCCTGCGAAAAGGTACCTGGTTTATATGAGTTAGTGACGATGACCACGGCGCAGGCGCAATAGGAGGCGTACATGTATTTCCATGGCGCTAACGCGCCGTTCGCATGGCCGATGCCATAATTGATAACACCACTGAAAATAGTGAAGAGGCCAGTCGCAGAGTACCAGATACCAAGGCGAAGTGGCAGCTCGGTCTTGGTGTACCACATCGAGCTGACTGTTAGATGTCAGGCCTGATCTGACAGCGGTGACCACGGGAAACGCACGCAAGACGAATCCGGGACTGACGGCGCTCTCGACGAGTCCAAGGAAAAAGCGCAGCGCGACTGCACCCTGGAAACTGGAGATTGTGACCGTAAGCATGACGATTACGCCCCAGATCTGAAAATGGGTATTATCAACAGAATTCGCAGAAGACGTTGCGGCAACACACGAAAATGAGGAGACTCAAAGCCTTCGCTACAGGTAGCCGTTGTAGAACCAATGCTATCGGAAGCACGCCGACAATGTATCCCCAATAGAAAGCAGCAGTGCTAGGAAATGGAACGAACACTAGAATCATCGATACACATGAGGAGATACAGGGGTGCTCACGCCGTAGAGTATCTCTGAGTAGAAATGAGGTCTGTGCCAGGGACAGGCGTGGTGAGGTGCATGTCGTCAAGCATGCCAAACACTGCGGCGGAACTGAAGACGAACTTGTCGTACTGTGTCGAACATTCCGAACGAAAAGGTATGAACGAGAATAATGGCGTAGTCAAATAAGCAGTATTGCTTACAAATTGTAAACCGTAGGAGAACGTAAGAATAGGCATCAAGAGCAGATCGACCTTCCAAAGCACCCTCCGTTCCGCCTTGGCGTCCCAGCCGCGTACGGACGCCGACGGGGTCGCCGATATTCTGGATGTGAAAGGCCCAGCCAGTACGTTCGCGTTTCCCTCGGCGCCAAAGTCCGAAGACACTTCTGCCACAGACATAGTCCTGGATGTTCAGGGACGACGCGATGGTTTGAGGGAGACCGAGTCTAAGGTGCGCCCCTCGTGCCTGACGGTAAATAGTTGTCACGGCCAGAGTTGAGTCACCAATTGTGATGACCGTGACTGTGAGCTAGGTCACACTGTGGTGCACTAGAGCTAGCTGGGCTCGCTTTGGCCCTAGACAAATGCTTTAGGTCACTGGCGAGAGTCTATGGGCACATATATGTGCGGGCGTACATGTTAGATAGAAAGGAAGTTCCTATGGGTTGAGGTGAATCCCGTTTTTATGACTAGTAACCTCACCGTCACGTAGTGATGTAATAGTACTTAGCACAAGCCTGCATGGCAGCGTTGTAAAGCATGCCTCTCACGTCGATATAATAATGCTTGCCCTTAAGGCCTTGAGTATAGAATCTCGCGAGGCCGACGGGTCTCATGGAAGGTACGCTCGCTGATTAGACGGCGACGTTAGCCAGCTCTCTTACCTCGGTATATCCCGAAGCAGTCTCCTATCCGCTTTCAAAATTTCAACTCCGAAAGGCAAATGCTGTTCGCTTTGATATCCGACGCAGTCTCCGACTGGCGAGGTCCGGACGCGCTAGCTGCTACGGCCTTTCGGCTCTTGAGTTTCCCCCACGACATACAGTGAGTCTCATACACTGGACAGCGTATACGCTCAGTCGAAACGGTATCTATATGCGCATTCCACCGTTGTGTCTGTTTAGCTCCCTGACATCGGTGTTTACAGCAGATTCGTACAGCTCACCGCGCGCGTCGTCGCCGCGAAGTAGGCGACGCGTACACTATGCCTCAGCCGGATGCTGGTATGCTTGAAATATTCTTGTGCGGCGTTATCCCGACGTGTCCCCCCAGGTCTGAATTCCGGTCCTGTCGCTGATCTGACCTCGTTCGATACTCAAGAGCAAATTGACCTCGATATATGCACCCAGCCCGCTCTCATTGAGCGCCTACCCAACGAGCTACTTGCACAGATCTTCTTGGCCCTTGTTTCCATCTCGCATGCACCGCCGTTTAACACGGAAGGCCCACACTTCAACCGCGAAGTATTCCGGTTGCTGTATATGACCCACGTATGTAGGAGATGGCGTACTCTTACTCTCAGTATGCCGCGGCTCTGGGATCGCGTGCCTATGGCCTCGTACGCTGACTGCTTCTGCGCTTTCTTGGAACGCTCTCGGGGTTTACCTCTATCGCTCTTGCCTGGGCCCCTCAGTTTTGGGGACGAACTGGAGCATCGCCTGTTTATTCAGTTATATCCGGCTGCAAGTCGCATACAACATATCAGTCTCTATGTCACTGCGCGAACTCTACGCGGTCTCAAGGACATGATGTTGCACGAAACGAACGCTGTCGCACAAAATATGCCCCTGCTAGAAACGCTCGAGCTCGCCTACGGGGGAGACGACACTGACGAACCGCATCCCGAGCACTTCTGGTTCATTTCCGAGGGAGTCCTTCCTCGACTGCAAGCTGTCACGACCAAGTACTTCTCCTTCAATTTCACTCGCAACCTTGTCCGATCCACCCTGACTCGTCTGTGGGTAGAACCCGGAGATCATACGTCAGATAGTGACTGGATCGACCTCTTGAAACAAACACCGCTCCTTCAAGACTTGGAGTTTGAGATGATCTTTGGCTCCTCGAACCTTGCCAACCGGCCTGTGCCCACGGAGCAACGAGTACCAATGCACCACCTGCGCCGATTTTGCTCTAGTGAACAAGGCTCCGGGATCCTCTCTTCCAGCATTTTCAACCACCTTGAAGTTCCTTCTGACTGTGCAGTCTCGCTCTGGGTTGGCAGACACCTCGAGCGCATGTCCTTGACGGAATGCTACTTCAACTTTAGGGTCCTCGGTTCGAAGCTGACTGGTGCGGGGTCTATTGGTGGTTCACGGCAACCCGAGGCGTTGCGCCTGTCTATACGTTATAACAGCATCCATTTAACTCTGTGGTTGTCCGGAGACTCTCGATGTCGGTATGTTGAACCATACAATCAAGTCGGGGGCGACGAAGGACACGCAAACGGCAACCCAATAGTCGACCTCCGGTTCGCATACTGCCCCCCAGCTCACTTCAACCAGGTTTTCCGCGCAGGCTTCTTCTCGCTTTCCGGACTCACGGCGCTCGACGTGAAAGGCGGTGACCTTCTCGACGACACGACTTGGGCGCTCCTCTACGGCTGCACGAAGCTGCAGTACCTGTCTATCTCTATGGGCGACCAGTACTCGGGCTATGACTATCGCCCGCTGTTGTCCGGCCTACTGGACTCTCCAGCTCTCTTCCCGGATCTGCGCGTCCTGCACTTGCGAGCTGCACAGTGGCATGTTCACCACAGGCAGTGTTGGCCCCCGTACTCTGACAAGCCATTTAGTGTCTTGCTAGTCCGCCTCATCGACGCTCGACGCGCGATGGGACGACCAATCGAGGAGCTTGATTTTCCCGGTGTCGTACACGTGGATTATGACAACGACCTCGTCTGGCTAAAAGCGATGGCCCGCAAGCAGCATCCGAAGTTCAGCTGGTCAGATCTTGAGCTCGATTATACATGCGACGATACGTGCTTCGCTTGTATTGCTGAGAGGGGCGGGAGGCAGCGGCGAGTAGTACGAGGTCCTTCAACCATGTTCCAAGGCATCTGACGGCGCTGAAAACGTCTTCGGGAACCTTGTCTATCGTTTTATAATCAGCATGCAGGTGAACACTTGGTCGAAAGGATCACTTTACTACGGCAGCATGTTCGCTTCACCCCTCTTTCTTCGTGGCTTGTTCGCCTGGATTGCCCGTCATTAATCAATGAATTAGTAAATGTATTGGTGATGACACGAGAACGACTTTTCGCCGACAGATGAGATATCGATCACAGCAGCGTCGGCCATAAGCGCGTCCGGATGACTCGACACTGATCACGCCAACGTTTTTGCAGGTGTCTAGTACTCAGCTTACGTCTTTTTATGCCGCCGTCTCTCAACTTGCATATGTAATCGGGTCTATCCCTGCATACATCGCAGCTACATAGGAAAGCGACGACTAGCGTGGTACGGGTTTGATGGTTATTAATGACGAGCCGCAGACCAGGCACTAAATGCTGTGCCGGTAGAAAGGAACACAGCATGTGTATAATATACAATGTGGTCTTGGCGTGGATCGGTCGCCGTATTCAGCATCTGTCGTTCCTTCCTGTCCTTTGGCATGGCTGTGCAGTTCGAACCTCCCAAAGCTCCGATGATCCCGTCCTCCCCGTGTCAGCGACGACCGCACTGCCATATAACCGCGACCACCGCGTTCAAAAGGCACTCAAGCTGACTTTGATCCCCTCTCGGTATACTGATTCTCAGCAGCAATGGTCGCCGTCAACCTCATGGTCGTCTTTGGCCCGTCGGATGACTCGTATTTCGTCACGTATGGACGCAAGATGCACTATCGTAACATGCCGAACAGCCTTATAAAGACTTTTACTGAGCAGCCAGACATGAACCCTATGAAAGTCGCCTGGCTCAGGTACATCCTTTGCTCTTCATGCACTCAGTGACTCACCCTGGCGTCAGGATGCACCCCAACGGCAAGACGTGGGTTGCGATGAACATGTACAACCTGAGTAGTAAGACCGTCCTAGTCATCACCGATGGCTGTCCGGGCTTGGCTCACCGTCGTGTACGCAGTGTGGTACGACACGTCCATCCAGCCAGAAATCCTTGCCCACATCAAGGGCGAACAGTTTGGCACCAAGAAAGCCGCCTCGATCTCGTGGACAGACGACGGCAAGGGATACTTTGTAAAGCTCCGCGACGGCGGCGGCTGGACGATAGACATTCCGGATGAATATCCACTGCAAATCAGCGAGCTCCGCGCCAGTATCCGCGACTTTGACCTTGGGCTCAAGACGATCCTCTTCGGGCAAGGCGGGACTCACGTGTATGTCTTCCAGCGTGGGTATGTTGCCCATCTTGAGGGCACCGCGGACGATAAGGAGCACCCGCTGTGCAAGGTATGCTGGGCTCCCGACCGCAATGCGGAACCTTCGCAGCTGACACCGAATCTCGCGCAGGTCTTCACCGAGTTTGCACAGGAGGGATGGAACATCCATGAGACATCTGTTCTGAGCCCGTACAACAATAGGCACTTCCTGCTCAAGTTCCAGAAAGAAGGGACGAATACTCTCCAGATGCGCTGGAGCTTGCCCAATGCCGCCGCTCAAGGTCTAGCAGAACTCCAGAGGCTCGCAGAGCAGCCAGAAGAGCAAGCATGTGAGTTTCTCTCCTTCTCTCCTTCTCCTCGTCTGACCCTTGCCTTCCTAGTCCTCGCACAGTTCGAGCAAAACACAGGTAATCTCGAGATGTTGAAAGCAACCGGAAACTTTGTGAGCAATCGTCGTTTACCGTGAATGTCTGGACCTATCCTGAACCATCCAACACACAGGCGCTCGCGCAGCATGCCAGGTACCTATTTGGACCGTGGTGAGACAGCATGACGGAGGGCAGCATATAACTATGACAATGTAATTGGCGAAAAGTATATGGACTTTTTTACAGAAATGCAAAGGTACCTGTACCTTAAGACTAGCTCAAGTGATCATCTATCACAGGTGGGTGTTATTCCACAAAGATCGGAGCACGAAATCCTCCGGGCTCGGGCTCTGCACCGTCGACAATCCGGCATTCTGCACGAATTTCACTGCGCAGGGACATTTGTTAGTGTACAACTCGCAGCCGAGTAAAATGTGCCACGCACCAGTGCGATCGATACCAGGAATGAGGTAAAAACCGTTCGCCGGGATGTTCTTCTCCGTGTCTAAGAAGTATCCGACCGTACCGGCAGGATGATCAAGCCAGGTCCACGCAGCGACCCCGCCCCTTGCAGAAAGCGTGAACGTCAGGTTCTCGTTGCGAGTGACATGGATCTTCGGGTCAACAAGCGTGGCATTGGCCAACGAAACTGGTGCAAACTGGAGATTCGTCAATGCCAGAGCTACGTCAAGGAGATGTAGAAGTAACTCACCACCTGCTCGCTTGTCACCGTCTTCCCTTCGACATTCGCTGTGACGTTCAGCAGCATGAAAACGTCCTCGGGATCCTTGCCCTTCGGCAGAATCTTCTCCAGTCCCGACTGATTGAGCACGACCGAATTGTTCAGACTCGGCACAGTGAAGCTCTTCGTTCTCGTCCCAAGATCGTTCCCCTCCCAGTCGTACCACGTCATCTGCACCTCCCCATCGACGGCCTCCCAGCGATCCGACGTGACGAGGACCTCGAGCGTCTGATTCTCGGGCGTCCAGAATGGGTAGATGATCACCGGCGTGTATATGCCCGTCATGCTGTAGTGCAGGACCTTCCAGCGCCCCGAGTACTCGATGCTCGACCAGCTCGTGCCCTGCCAGATGTCATTCAGCTGCCAGACGAGGCTCCCGAGGTTATTTTCGCCCAGGCCTGCGCCGCGCCGGTACCACGCGATCTCGGACACCATGTTCATCGCCTGGAACACCTGCGTGCTCCAGCACCACTGCGCGAACGTCTGGTTGCTGTCCGCCGTCCCCGGAGTCGGCAACCAGGCCTGCACGGCCTCCGTCATTTGCGCCTGCCCCTGGTTCGAGTTCGGGTTCGGGAAGGCGAGCCCACCCGCGGGCGGGTGGTGATCACGTGATGCGACGACGGTAGAATTGAACGAGAAATCCTCAGGGTTTTCCAGGACTTCTTCGTAGCTGAAGAACGATGGTTGCGAGTGAAAGCTACCAAGCGAAAATCACAATGAGCGGACTGACGCCCTTTAGCGAAAACATCTGACGTACCCGAACTCGTTCACGAATCGGGCCACTGGGTATGTGCTGTAGTTGAAAGCCTGGCTAGCGTCATAGTTGTACCGCTCTGCCCTTTGAAGTCAGCTCAAGCCGATCTTGCAGAGTAGCCAAGGATACTGACCGCTGTTGCCATAGATGAAGCCTGGGGTCTTGTTGTCGTAACGGATCACGTAGGGATCAAGGCTGAGAACGCCACCGGTGGTTGAGCAGTCGGTGTATGCAACCTGACAAAATGACCTTAGCATCGCAGCATTATGCAGAAAGGAAGGACATCTTACCGAATTTGTCTCCTGCGAGACGATATCGTGTAGGAATTCCCCAAACATAAATTGGAACTATGATCGCCCCTTCAGCAAGCAAGCCGCAGCGAAGGAGAGCCGAACGCACCTCGTCAAGATAATGCGTCCCGTTCGCCTGTGTCTGGTTAATGCCGATCACGATTCCCTCGATCTCGTTCCCACCAGCCCATTGCACGTTGCTCGGGTGCTTGTTGATCCGCCGCACATTCTGCCGCACCTCAGGCTCGATGGACTCCAGGAGGAAGCCGTTGATCGGGTACAACGCGTCTGAGAAGATAAGTTCTGACCACGCGAAGATGCCTAGTTCGTCGCACGCCGTGTAGAAGTCGTACCCGCCGGTGACCTCGTCTGAGGGCTGGTAGATGCCACCACCCCACACGCGGAGCTATGGGTAAGTCAGTAAATCAGCTCCAGAGAGTGCGACGAGTCGCAGACGCACCATGTTCTGCCCGCTGAGCACCGCGCTCTCGAGAACCCAACGCACCTTCTCGCTCGTCGTGCGCGCATAGAACGGGTCATACGGGATGATATTTGTGCCTTCGCTGAAGAATGCCTTCCCATTCACATTGAAGTGCCACTGGTCGCCGGGCGTGATCCCGCGCTCGCGAATGTCCTTCTCCGAGTACGGCGCCTGCACGAGCGTGATCGTGCGGAAGCCCGTCTGCGTCGTGAACGCGACACTCGGAGACGACGAAGCCACAGAGAAGTGCAGCGACGTGGTGATGTTGTAGAGCTTCGGCGTCCCGAGGTCGGTTGGGAACCAGCGCTCGGGCACGCCCTCCGGGACGGTGAACGACGCCTGCAATCGAGTAGGCTCGCTTGTGTCAGCGGGAACGGCCGACACGGGGATGGGCGAAGAGGTGACATTCAATTCTGGGATTGAGATGACGACAGACGGAGAGTCGATAGCGACCGCTGAACGGACGAACAGCGTGACATTCACGAGCCACGGTGCCGACTCGTCTGGCAGCTCTATGGGAGTCTGCCCGACCTTTGAAATCTCTAGAGACGATTCTTCAATGAAGACCGGGCTCGAAGAAGACACCAGTAGTGGGTGTGCCTCTGGGGTCGGTGATAACTCAAGATCGGACGTGGTTGTAGGGAGAGTGACGAGGTATGCGGGCTTGAAGATGCCTGTCGGGACGAAGGCAGGGCCCTATCGTGGTGTATCAGCGGAAGCTTGAGTTCGATAACCAAAGCAGATCTACCCAGTCCCAGCCATAATCAGATTGAATTTTGCGAGTGAACTGGCGCACGGTCGGGTACTCGAACTAAACACAACATGACGAGTCAGCAGGCGTCGCAAGGACAGGCAGGATAGTGACGTACGACATCGCCACTAACCCACTCGACGTCTGGCCTTGAAGTGACGTTCAGCCCATATAGCCATGCAGATTCGAATGCAACAGTCAGGTTGGTGTCTTGAGACGACGGAGAAGCGAGCAGGTCGGTGACATCATAGACATATTGGCGGAATTGATTATTGACCCAGGCCACCGGATGACCAGCGACTGTCTATCAAAGATGAGTTTAGCGTAAGAGATACTATAGCCTTCGAAGTCGAACTTACGATGTTGGCGACTGTATCAAGCCCATAGAAAACTAGCAGCGCCTTTTCGGACGCATCCGTTCCGTTGAGAAACGCGGTTATATCCGCAGTGTACGTCCAATTGTCATTCACGATCCATCGCTGGGTGAATTCTGTGGAGCCAAATGGCTTAGAAGGCGAATTATATGGCAGAAAAAGTAAGCTTACCATTGATACCAAGCAATGGTTCGGTTATAATCTCGGCACGTAATAGGTCGAGGTGAGCTTGCGAAGGTACTTGGGCTGGAACAACGATTGATCCGTTCTGATTCTTCAACGTCCAAGTGAGATCCGATAAGCTCAGCACTTTTGCCTGTGCCACTAGAGGGAGCACGAGCGCAAGGCATGCGCATAGCGTAGGTACCACCAGCATGAGCATCCGCAACGATTGACTGTTGGCGATCCCTCTTGCCGCTTCCTTATATCTGAGCGCCGCCTGCTATGACTCGCAGATGTAGGAATTGCTCGGAATTTACCCTGGAGCTGGTGCGGCTAAGGTGGACTGCTCACCTGACCGACCATGCTTCGCCAATCTATACAACGAGCAGGTGGGTCAGATGGCCGACGTATGGAGAAGCGTGAAAGCCTACGAAATCCCTAGCCTCATGGTGATGGACCCTGAGCGATGGCGAAGTCCTCCAGAGATTACCGTGTTCTGTACGGCAAACCTCGCACCTGACCTTGTCTTGAGGTCAGGACGAAGGTCATGCCCGGCTGGAGGGGCGTCCCAGAGGGCCGTTCAGAGCCTCGAAGTGGTGCAAATACTGCACTTGCGGACCGCCAGGAGCTGAAGCTAACAGCTTCCATCAGATGGTACGGAGGTGACTATGCGTGGATTTAGTTCAAGCTGAACATGGACATTGCGGAGATAAGCGGAGAGTGAAGCGCCCGACACGTTTGGACCGCCACGAAGTCGGCGCGTTAGCCGGAAATGGAAGAAAGCGCATCATGTCTGCATTGAGCGCCCGATGTTTGCCCTTTTTATGCATGTACAGGTCGTGAAAGAGCTCAGACCTCCAGGCTGGACGGTTAGGCGGCGCGTGAGTCCTGCTTTTTGTCCTGCATACTGACCGCTGCCTTCACTGAAGTGTAGGGCTCGTTGTCAACGCCCCGAGACACCATCGACAGATCGAAGCGAAGTCACCGCATCGACAAAAGGCGAGACAGACTTGTCCAAAATCAGACATCTCTTCGATACTACTTCCTTAGCCTCGACTTAGACAGGACGCGTATGCCCTGGACTGGTTTTCACAGTCCCAAGCTGCTAAAAGGGACCTTCGCGTCGGCTTCAGAGCGATGTGCTTATGCTTGTTGACAAATTAGTACCCCTGTGGGTGCTCAAAGTGAAACAGCGAAGAATGTGTCTTTAACCCCTAAAGCTCACGACTAACATCGCGATTCCAAGCTTAGCGCAATCGGCGGCTACATTGGAGCGCTGCAGACCGACTCAGTCGCATCCTTCGCATCCAGCTGTACACGTCTGTACTCCATCTTGCATCCGTACCCACTGGCACTTCACGCATCGACGTGGCGCGTGAGCGAACCCGGCGTCGATGCGCACTACCGCAACCCTCGTTTCGTCAAATCTTGAATGGTTTCGGGAGGGCCGTCGCGATTTGCATCTGCTTTTCCCCCATTGTAGTCTCTGTGGGCCTGACGCGGCGCTAGTAGCAGCGGCGCTACAGATGACCGAACCCGACCCAGGCGGTCAGTGCGACCTGAGCAACTCAGTAGACGAACGTGATCTCTGCATGCAAGATGGACGCTGTCACCGGAGTGGTCCATAGACTCCATATCCCAGCCAACACTCCGCGGGTGGACGTGGAAGACCTAGGCGGACATTGTACGCAGTTCCCCTGTCCTTTCATGAATGAGCCAGTCGACCTACTGATCGAGAAGAACGTGGGGTATCGCTGGTGCATAATATGTTCTCGCACTAACTTTCATCGAAATATATCTCGTTTTACTGCGAGAGAAGGAAACGCTATACCCTGGGAACGCCTGTCATGTATGGAAGTCTTAACCCTAGACCTCGCGCGGGCGGCACGCACGCTTAGCCCAAGGATGGCACAGCATCACCGCGACGACGACGACGACAGCAGCCGTAGCCTCGACCTCGTTCCGCCTCCTATTAGATATTCGAGAGCGATTAGGACTATCCTTCGGCCAAACGCCGTCCTGCTTTTGCAACCGCCCGCTGCTCATCATCCGACACCTTTTTTTTAGCAATACCTGAACTGACTACCACCTCATTCTACGGACGGCACCTTCTACACCTTCGCATCCAGTTAGACATGGACGAACAACTACATTATGTAAGCGGGGCCTAAAATCCCCACTGGGTGATACTGACGAAATGGCTAGGCGACATCAGGTGTAAAACCTCCCGAAGACGGCTGGACGTGGGTTAACCATCGGATGAGTAAGAAAGACAGCGCTACCATGAGGGGTTACTCTGAGGACATCGATGCTCTTCTCGTTCTGGTGAGTCTTCGCATGCACTCTCATTGGCGGGGAGTTCTCACACGCTTCCAGGACGGCTTATTCTCTGCCGTCGTCGCAGGCTTCCTCGTCGTCGCGATAACCATGCTCCAAGAGGACACTGGACAAACCTCTGTCGAACTGCTCTCAACCATCTCCAATCAGCTCTCCAGTCTCACCGTCGTTCCTCCCTACATCAACTCGACCTCCAACGGACCACCCATCCAGCCATTCCAACCAGAGTCTGCCGCCCGATGGATCAACAGCCTCTGGTTCATTAGTCTCATCCTTAGCCTTGCCTCTGCTGTTGTTGGTATTCTAGCGAAGCAATGGATCCGCGAGTATCTCCAGTGGGACAGTCCGACTTCTGCATCGCGAGAGAACGTGCTCGTCCGCGAGATACGCATGGAGGCATGGGAGGAGTGGCATACGATGACCATTGTCTCTGCGGTCCCCGCGCTCCTTGAGATAGCCATCATTCTCTTTACATGCGGTATGGCGGTGTTTGTCTGGACATTGGATGATGTTGTAGCGGTCGTCGTGACGATCTGCATTGGCCTATTCCTACTGCTCATCGCCGCTCTCACCCTTCTCCCGGCCGTCTACAAACACTGTCCATACAAGTCGCCTACTGCATGGGCCGTAACTTGTTTCTTGCGCTGGCTCGTGATATGCTGCAGATATGCCATCAAAACACTCCCGCGATACCTGCACCTTACATTACCATCCACTTCCGCTGCACAAGGTCCAACTATTTCCCAGTTCAACGACCACTGCGAAAAGAGCCACTCGCTCGCATACCTGCGCCCAGAAGCAACGCCTACATGGCGACTAAGAGATCTTCGTGGTGCGCAGCCTTCTAAGCTGCGCAACGGTCATGGCCAAATGGCGAAATCTCATTCTGTCTTGCTGGAGGATCTTAAACTAGAGTTGCAAGATCCTATCCAATGGCACCTTGGCGATCTCTCCGCCCCAGGAGCCCTAGCCCCAGCTGTCCTCCACACCCATGCCACAGCCATCAGCGAGGCGGATCTGCTGTTTAAAGCCCTGGTTCATTTTGTCATAGAGTTACCCAACAGTGACAGTCTTCGGTACATCGCACAATGCGCTCAATTAATGCACCCACCACTCAACTGCTTGGCAGCCCCTGATTACGTCGTCGACCTTTCTGCAGATGTACACCTTGCAGAGATCGCATTAGACGGCGCCTTTCGTAACCTCTCCATCTGGTATATGCTGTCTCGCTTGAACAGCACCGGCCCGGGATATATGGGCTCCCTCACATGCCACCCATCCGTTACGCACGCTCGAGGACGGCCGACCATCGTCGCATCCATTATAAGCACGCTCAGAGGATGCATTCTGGATGAACAGCCCCAGCGCGACATGACGTGCACATTCCTGCCCCCTGAAGAAGGTGGCAGTGCTAGGATAACTGAATACGAGGAGTCTCCTTTGCACAATTCCCAGCATATCGTCATAAGCTACGTCCTGGTCTATAGTCTGCAAGGGCTGATCTCTCACATGCTACATTCCACTATTCTCGACCTTTCTGCACAACATCCTATTATTGAGCTACTGCACCACAGAGCGAAGGAGATCCTATGCGCCTTGAGCTTGGTGACATTCTACTGGGATTCTCCATCAGTGTTACGGCGCGCGTGTTATCGAGACTGCACTCAAGTCCTCGTAAACATATACAACAAAATCATAGAAAATCCCCACAAGTGGGAATTTGACATCTCGTTTCCCGCGCTACGAAACCAGCTGCTCTGGACGCCCGACTGGGATCAGTGTCCCATACGCCAGACGTCCCAGTTTACTCTCGAACTAGAGCAGATATCTCCAGGTATGTCTGCAGCGGCTTGATACTAGACGGCAATAATTCAACATCTTCGCATCAATTACAGAGACCTCCAGCCCTCGGACAAACTGGCTGGCATTCGCCATGCAGTATTCTGGAGCGGATCTCGACTTCACCGAAATGTCGAAAGAGGACGTCTCTATTTTCGCGCAGGTGGTCAACCAGGCGCTCAGGGAAATGCACCATTATTCGCCCCAGGACATCGAGAAGCTCTGTCAGATTACAATATCCTCTCTCGAGCAAGCTGCATCTGGGCACTGCGAAGCGGCTCTCTGCACCCTTCACGAGACGTGGACCGAGCAATTAATTCAGGATGACGACAATGACGATCAAATCGTCTTAGTCATGCTGGAGCGCTCTGCCAGCTCAGTTCTACGCCTCCTGCAAGCCCTACAAGTCGGCGAGTGCGATGCTGATGGCACACTAGCAGGATACCTCGTCGACGTACTTCTCGTGGTGCACAGAATCCCGACTGAACCTGCTGAGCCGAATACAGCCACCGAGCTATCCGACGCACTCCGGCGTGGCACAGTGCTTCTGAAGGGATGGCCACCAGATGTGGACGAATACGCGCAGCAGTGGCATCGCCATTTCGTCTGGGCAGGAGGCCACTGGATCAGAGAGATCGGTCGCAGACTCTCGTCTTCCGCGTCCCAAGACACCGGCAACTTCGCACGCGATTTCCCCAACGTACTGCGAAAGATGACCCAGGCAGTGCAGCAGGCGGAGCAAAATGGTTGGAAGGACCACGACCAAGACGATGCGGTCATTCCCTGGCTGAAGGACCTGTTCTCTACTTCACTCGAAGAGACAAGCCGCACGCAGCACGATACTGAGGGCTCTGTAACAGCTGACATCCTCTTCCGACACGCGCCAGACGCCTTCGAATCCCTTATCGACACACTCGACCGCGTCGCAGAGGCGCATCAGTTCCGCAGCCCCTTACTCGACAAGCTACGCCTGATGCGTCGCCAAATCGTGGTTTCGACCCCCGAACAGATGGTCGCTCAGGGATAGCAGTAGGGGCGGATCCGAAGGCCTCCTGGACACTTTCCTGTTTGTGGTGTAATTTATCCACGGTGTTTCGAACACATAACGCTGAAAGAACAAGCTGGATCTATCCGTCGTCTACTTTGTTCCCCCGCATTTCTTGACTTTCTAGATGGTCGCAACGCCGGCACGCACAAAAGTCGTTGCCGCCGCTTTGATGAGATGACGTACGCGACTCGCCGTCTGACACCGACGCTGCGACGCCAAGTATGCATTCGTCTGCAGCCGCGTCCTCTCCTGTCGAGATTTGGTTGAAGGCATAGTTGTCTTGTGTTTCTCCGCTTCCAGCTGAGAAGTATCGGTAGACAGTATAGAGGTCGAGGCCACTTACGTTGGACGTCGCTCGAAAGGGCCCTCGTACTCGTGCCAGCAGAGTCCAGATCCTCACCCCCGCTTCCCACAACAGACCTTGCCGTAATTGAGTACACTCCAGCCTTTTGTCCGATCGTTTAGGCCACGGCTTCATGAATACCGTATGCACGACAGGCATCGCCACTTTGGTGGTCTTCGAACCCGCTTACGACGGTCGCAGCACTGGCCAGTCGGCTACAGTAAGGAGAACTATGAAATTATGACGGTGAGAGATCGCAGCATAGGGCAATGATGCTCCTCGCAAGCGGGATATCCGAAAGGGCTGCTCACCTCGAATCTCGGACCCCATAACTATCGCTACGTTCTTCTTCGCCAATGCCTTGACTTCATCGTCACAATTCTGTTCATACCCGATGGAGTAAGCGTAGGCTCATTTGCCGCCAAACTGCGGCATAGAGTACGCGACACATTGCGCGATCTCTTCGCCAGATGCAACTCGTCGAGGGACCACTTCATACGCCTTAAGATTACAAGCACTGAGCTCAAAGGGACTCCTGGGCAATACCAGATACATAAGATCTCATTCAGTGATGTTCTGCAGCTCCACGAATTTGGGCCGAAGTCGAAGGTGAACTGAGTCGCAGGGCGGAGGAGCAGCCGCTGGAACGGAAGAAGGCGCATCAGCCCGGACATTCTAGGCGCCCAATGCTCTGTCTCTTCTCCGTACCACGAGTACTTGAGACGGTGCAGCGATCTCACAGTACACATTATCGTTTACTCTAGACGTATTGCCGCACTAGGTTTTATTGAACTACTCGTTAGGTCATCGTACATGAGGGAAAACCCCCGATGTTTACTGGGAAAGCCAACCAAGTATGGAAGTCTTAACCTTAGGCATCGCATACCACATGCACCTCGTCACTGCGTCCACGACCGCCACAACTAAGGCCATAATGGACTCACTTTAGTTCTACTTTTCCTTCAAACTCTGGGCACAAGCGAGACTGTTTACTCCCAGCCAAGCGCAGTCGTGTTTCGTTACTCAATACTATCGGCGGCACACTATCTGACATCCCGGTGGTTATTGTCCCGGCGGTGGACACCGGATTCTATAACAACTATATCTGCCCCTTCGCTCTCAAGTTGAGATGGACAAACAAGAACGCGTAGGTAAGATTGCATATGCCCACTAGCCAATGTTAATGACATGTGTCTAGACGACATCGGATGTAAAGCCCCACGAGGACGGCTGGACATGGGTCAACCAGCGGACGAATAAGAAGGACAGTGCTACTATGAAGGATTACTCTGAAGATATCGATTCTCTTCTTGTCCTGGTGAGTGACATTACACATACATGATACGCAGTTCTCATGTGCTTGCAGGATGGTCTATTCTCCGCCGTCGTCACAGGCTTCGTCGTCGTCGCAATAACCATGCTTCAAGAGGACACTGGACAAACCTCTGTCGAGCTGCTTTCAACCATCTCCGCTCAGCTCTCTAGTCTGACTATCACTTCTCCCTACATCAACTCGACCTCCAACGGACCACCTATTCAGCCATTCCGACCTACGTCTGCCGCTCGATGGATCAACAGCCTCTGGTTCATTAGTCTCATCCTTAGTCTTGCCTCTGCTGTTGTCGGTATCCTAGCGAAGCAATGGATCCGCGAATACCTCCAGTGGGATAGTCAGACTTCTGCATCGCGAGAGAATGTACTTGTCCGCGAGATACGCGCAGAAGCATGGAAGGAGTGGTATACGACTTCCATCATCTCTGCGGTTCCCGTGCTACTTGAGGTGGCGATCATCCTCTTCACGTGCGGCATGGCGGTGTTTGTCTGGACGCTGGATCTCGTCGTAGCAGTCGTCGTGACGATCTGCGTCGGCCTCTTTCTGTTACTCATTGCCACCCTCACTCTTCTCCCCGCCATCTGTAAGCACTGTCCATACAAGTCACCAACTGCATGGGCCGTCGGTCGTCTTTTACGCTGGCTTGTCGGATTATACAGACACCTGGCCAATGTGTTGATATATTCCTCGGAAACTGCTGCCCCATCCACCTCGGCGAGTCCCATCGTTTGCCTATTCAATAATCACTTCGGGACAATTCACTCAATCCCTTATCTGCGTCCGGAAACGCTACTTTCATGGCGATCAAGAGACCTCCAAGGCGCTCAGCTCCGCAAGCTACGTGACAGTCAAGGTTCAATAACGGAATCTCAATCGATATTGCTAGAGGAGCTTCAGCTGGAGCTGCGAGGTGCAGCTCATTCCATCGGGCTGCACTTCGGTGATCACTCCGCTTCAAGAACGCCTAATTCCGGTGCCCGCCTTTCGTCCGCTGTCCTGCGTGCCTATATCACGGCTGTCAGCGAGGCGGACCTACTGTTCAAAGCGCTCGTTCTCGCCGTTATGGAGCTACCAAGCAGCGACGCTCTTCGTTATGTTACACAGTGCGTCCAGTCGATGCATCCACCATTGAACTGCATGGCGAGCCCTGATTACATTGGCCTTTCCACCGAAGTCCACCTCGCGGAGGTCACGTTAGATGGGGCGTTTCGTAACCTGTCTATGTGGTATATGCTTTCTCGCTTGGACAGCACAGGTCCCGGATACATGGGTTCCCTCACACGCCACCCATCTGTTACCCTTACGCGCACTCGAGGACGGTCGACCATCGTTGCATCTATTATCAACACGCTCAGAGGATGTATTCTTGATGAACAGCCTCGACGGGACATAACATGTACATTCCTGCCTCCTGAAGAAGGCAGTAGTGCTAGGAAGACTGAATACGAGGAGTCCCCTTTGCACAATTCCCAGCATATCGTCACAAGCTACGCCCTGGTCTATAGTCTGCAAGAGCTAATCTCTCAGATGCTACATTCCACCATTCTCGACCTCTCCGCACAGCATCCTGTTGTCGAGCTACTGCACCGCCGGGCAGATGAGATCCTGTGCGCTTTGCGCTTAGTTACATTCTACTGGGATTCTGCGTCAGCACTGCGACGCACATGTCGCCGAGACTGCGCTCAAGTCCTCGTGGAGATATCTAATGGAATCGTACAAAATCCCCTCAAGCGGAAATTTGACATCTCATTCTCCACACTACGAACCCAGCTGTTCCTGATGCTCGCCATGAGCCAGTATCCCATACGCCGGTCATCCCAACACACCCTCGAGCTGGAGCAGGTATCCGAGGGTATGTCTGCAGCGGCTCGATAGCAGACGGCAATAACTGAACATCTTTGCGTCAATTATAGAGATATCCAGTCCTCCTAAACACTGGCTGACATTCGCCATGCAACATTCTGGGGCCGATCTCGACCTCACCAAGATGTCGGAAGAGGATGTCTCTATTTTCGCGCAGGTGGTCAACCAGGCGCTCGGGGAAGTACACCATTATCTGCCTCAAGATGTCGAGAAGCTCTGCCAGATCATGATATCCGCTCTCACGCAGGTTGGATCTGGGCATTGCGAAGAGGCTCTCCGCACCCTTCACGAGACGTGGATCGGGCAGCTGATCCAGGATAAGGCGCTGGGCGACGACAACGAACAAATCGTACTAGTCATGTTGGAGCGCTCTGCAAGCTCACTTCTGTGCCTCCTGCAAGCCCTGCAAGTCGACGAGTGCGATGCTGATGGCACCCTGGCGAGATACCTTGTTGGGGTGCTTCTCGTGGTGCACAGGATTCCGCTCGAGCCTGCCAAGCCGAAGCCAGCTCTCAAAGTTCCCGACGCGCTCCAATGCAGCACAATACTTCTGAAGGAATGGCCATCGGATGTGGGCGAATACGCGCAGCAGTGGCATCATCAGTTCGTCTGGGCAGGAGGCCACTGGATCAGAGAAATAGGTCGCAGACTCTCGCCTTCCGCACCCCAAGACTCCAGCAGTCGGGTAAATCCTCATGGGTCCAACGAATCCCATTGGCGCTATCAGAGCAAAGAAGCCTGCTCCGTCATTACAAGCTTCCGCTCTCCCAAAGAACAGCAGTAAGTCGACTAATGTTCTTTCCCGATATTTGTGCTAACGGGACTTTTAGAGAGATGGGCTTCGGAAAAACATTCGCAGAGAAAGATATCATCAGCTCCCGAATCGCTTTTTCTTGAACACGAGCGGTCGAGAGATGACGTGTCGCAGCTAAACTCAGCAGCCAAGCCCCGCGGAAAGCCTCCTGAACATGCGAAATCAGGCCTTGCACGCGCGCGGGCTGCAATCGTCCAGAAACTTAAGACATCTGGCAGAACGAGGTAGACAATGAACAGATTCAGCTTGTTCTTTCATTGCAATGTGCTCGAAACGCGACAATCAATTGGAAATCCTGCCCATAAACAAATTATTTCCATCACAGACCCCACTATTGTCCCTGAGCGACTATCTGTTCGGGGATCGATGCCGCATACTGACGACGCGTCAGACATAGCTTGTCGAGTAAGGGGCTGCGGAACTGATGCGCCTCTGCGATGCGCTCGAATGCATCGATAAGAGATCCGAAAGCGTCTGGCGCATGGCGGAAGAGGTCGTCAACTGTGGTAGAGCTCTCAGTATCATGCTGCGGGTGGCTTGTCTCCTCGAGTGAAGTGGAGAACAGGTCCTCCAGCCAAGGAACGACCGCACCGCCCTGGCCGCGGTTCTGCCAACCATGTTGTTCCGCCCGCTGTGTTGCTTCGGTCATCTTTCGCAGTACATCGGAGAAATCGCGTGTGAAGCTGTTGGTCTTGATTAACAGGTATGGTAGTATCCGGCTTGTGAGAGCGCACCAGGATCTGGCTAGGGTGTGGTTGTATAGATAGATGCCAGCTGGACTCTGGAGATTGTTAAACCAATTGTGAAGGGAGGGAGTAGTTACCGAGAGACGCACACGACGTGAGAGACGCGGACGAAGAACTGGCGGTGCGCAGTGGCACTGTCCAGTGGCTGTGCCCTGGCAGCGAACCCAAGAACGGTGCCGAGTCACGGTTGGGGTAATTGGAGAGTAGCACATTCCCGTGGAAACGGTGTTCGAAGCCTGGGAGAGAGAGCTGCCGTGCGAGGCGATGAGATAAACGATTATTTGCATGGAAAAAGGCACTAGCGACCAAAATTCAGCGCAGTTCAATGTCCAGGTCTACAGTTGGTTCAACTGTTGCCTTACGATAGAAGCTCGTGGCCCTGATGTATGCTCGCCATCCAGCGCAAATTCCGAGTCGCAAAGCAGCTGGGGATGCAACGTGCAGAAGGCTTCTGGATCGAGTCTCACATATATGGATGTAGTACCTCAAAGTCTATATTCCGTGTGCAACAAACGGGATCCACGAGCCACTGCCGATCGCCGTTCAACACTACGTGGCCGTTCCCAGCTCAGTGTACCTTAGGTTCGTTCCAGTGCCATAGAGCCTCTGCGGAACGGCTTCTGGACGTGCTTCAGGCCCGCGAGCCTCGCAAAGATCTTCTTCTTCTGTTTACCGTCGCCTGCGAGCCGCGCCTCCACATTCACAGAGCCGAGCGGATGACGACGTAGAGGTGTTGAGGCCTGCAGAGACGCTTTCCAGGTAGCATTGAGACGGTCCTCCTGGCATGGGAGGTCGTAAATCTGCAACGCGGTAGTATGCAAATAGCGGCTTACCTCGATGACAGGCACGTGCGTGTCGGTGCGACACGCTGCGCCGGTGCCAGTGGATATTGCCATTGTAGCTGGGTTGTCGTCGTCTGTGCGAGGCGTACCTGCATCGCCCGGCGTGTCCGCCAGGTCAGGCTCTGGTTCCGACAGGGAAAGGATCGAGCGTGGATTCCCGCCCGTCGGTCCATCCACTAGTGGCCACAGGATGGGCGAGGCGGATTCTGATCGCGGAACGGGAATCGTCGGCTCGGGCGTGTCAAGCATTTGATCTTGGTATGTCAAATTGCCCAAGCTCAAAGCGTGGATCGGCAGGGGTGGGAGAGTGGGAAGGTCTTCTTGGGCTGCAGCGTCGTCCGAGCAGAGCTGGTAAGGCGCCTGTTCGGGTTCGAGGAAGTGGGCTACCCCATATTGAGGACTAAGAACGCCGAGAGTAGCGTTTGGGTGAGTCCTGTGGCTAGAGCTAGCTGATAGGAGAACGGGCGGAGGCGCGGATAGACGGCACGGATGATCGACACCGAGGCCGTCTCGGGAAGTATCGGCAGGCGCCATGGCAGTGGATGGATGCGAAGAGAAAGTGCTAGCATAGGTGAACTCATAGGTCGAACAAGGCTTGGCAGCCAGATTTTGATGACCAAGCCTGTGCTCGTGGGCCGAGTCTGCCGGCGCATTAATACCCGTCCACCATCTGTACAGACGTCTTATAGTGACTATCGGTGGGACATTAGCTGCGCGCCAGCACAGTGCAAGTGTGGTAATCACCTACAAGAGCAAACCCACAGGCCCACATATCCAACAGCGCGTCACGTCGACTGAGCCAGCGCAGCCAGCGAACACGTCCACGGAGTCTGTCGAGCCAGAAGAAGCTAGGGGACACTTTGTAAGCCATTTCACGCAAAATGGTTCAAATTTATGCCTACATGAGCCCTAGAATGACAGACATCGCCCAGTCGACGACCGCAACGCCCGTCGCGTCTTTGTTTGCACACGTAGCCGCCAGTTTCCACGTCCCGAGGCCGAGCGTGGCGATAGTGACGAGGGCACCGTACCAATCCAGGACTGGTTCATCTTCGCTCGCGCTGAGGAGATGAAGCGGGAAATGCGATGTGTGGATGAGTCTTTCTGTACCAGGACTGGGGCCGGGCGAGACACGTTCTTCGCGCTGTTTCTCTGTTTCAAGTAGTAAAGTCGAAGACGACGAAGCGAACGTCCTGAAAGTACCCGCGTTGAAGTTTAACAGTGGCTCCGGCCCATTAAGCCCCTCAACAGATTCTTGCGGTGCGTATGGGTCTTCGTCTTCGTATTGGATAGAGCGCGGGGACAGTGGGGTTCGAGGCGGTGTGTGGTACACGTAGCGAGGATTTCGGTTTCCTCGGTTCCCGCTATCATCCGAATCGTAAAACGAAGGGACAGCGGAATAAGCTTCCGAATCGGTGTCGAAGGTGAGCCTGTCCCCTATAGTAGCCAGTGTAGCTGTTGGAGAGTATGAGCCTACTCGTCGCAATTTAGCTAGTCTTGCTTCATCCGACTCCGAGGACAAGTTCCACGCAGGAGAGTATGTAAGCTTTCTAGGAGCGCGACGACGACGCAGGACGTTCGCGAACGACGATAATTTTGCCCGAAGCGTCGTACCAGAGGCAGCCTTGTTTCCCTGCCGGGTCCAAGGTGGTGGTGGTGACGGAGCCATCTGCAACGTCTAACAAATAATCGGATGCTTTGGTAGGGGCTGAGCGATGGATTCGTTCGAGTGGAGGAGGGCAAGTCTTGCAGACTGGAGATGGCAGAATACGGGAGGAAGAGAGCGAGCTGTGGAGTCATGAAGTACGAGAGCGACGCGCCGGCGTCCGAGCTGTCAGATATCGCCTGCATGCGGGAGGCTGTGGTCAAGGCAGGAAACACGCGATGATATGTGCGGTGTACACACGGGGGCTATGCCAACCACTCGGGCGCTTGGAATACGGCGCTTATTAGTGCTCGCTTTGTCGAATATATAGCCCAGACGTATACGCGAATGCGTGTAGCATGTTCGGCCAAATAGAAAAACTCCTCGGCCTCTGCGCGACAAGCCGGGAGTCGTCCTAAGCCCTACCAGTAATTTGCATTATTGTATAGCAAGTACAATAACATGCACAGCCTCACCTTCCATAGTTCGTACGCCCAGGCTGCTTCAAAGACACTGGCCAAGTTTAAGCCGTGTGGTTGTAGCCACCATCCTACCTGCTGCAGCACGAGAGTAAGTTGTCCAGCACTGTAAGAGTAGTACAAAACCTTGCCATGTCTTTGTCCGATACAATGAGCTCCAATTTTCCAGCGCATCCGCATATACGCAGCGTTACCGTTTGAAAGAGAATGAATGTCGCACACCAACACCTGCAGACTCGTTGATTTTGCGTCACCAGTACCGCATCATTCTGACCCCCGCTGGCGCCAGCGGACAATATCGAACTTGAATTCTCCTCGCCAACGACGGTCAACCAAGCTCTAGCCAGAGGATGATGGCCAGTAGATACAGCTTTCACGTGAAATCTGCAGGTAACTACTTGTACCTTTCCCCAGAACTCTGGCCCTGGTTGTGTGATGTAGTGAGCACAGATCACGCATGTAGGGGCACAAGGAGCGGGCAACCGCCTCGAGTATCGCTACCTAGTTATCGATCATCAATTATCTCGTAATTGCCGCTTTCGAACACGACCCTCCGGGCGCCGCCCTAAAGTTGGACTTCGTCCATTGTCCTACCACGTCCTCTCCGCCCCCATGCTGCCTCGTCCCGACTTCGTGTCTTTATCATAAGGGTATCCATTTTTATGTTATCTTTTCCCGCATGTCAGCGCATCAGGAACGGGCTGGGGTCGGGCCGTCGGCTGGGGCGATGTTATGCTCTACGTAGCTCAGGCAATGTATGTAGTAGTCATTTAGCCAATCAATGTGACACTGTCCTCTCTGATGCAATATAATTGTACAAGCTACAGAGCAAACAGTAGATTGCGAGAGAATGAGGAGAAATTGTTGAGAATATCGGAAGCGTCGCCGAAATGCTGCGAGTTCAATATTCAAGCTTCAAGGGCGATAGTAGATGCAGGGGTGCCACAAAGAGCCAGCTATCGATCGTCGCTTATCTCGTAGATACTGTTTTCGGTCGTGTGCATCTTGGCAGCCCAAGCGCAACGGTGTTGTCAGATCAATAGCGAAGATCTACGAGGAACTGTCGTTGTAGTATCCTCAACAAACTTATATGAGACGCGCCCAGTCAGCAGCGTCGTTGGGTCCCAAGAGATGTGCATATCGTACCTCATAACTCCAGCCACCTGTGTATCTGTGTATATAATAACTTTGAGCACGGAGCCGATAATGCCTAGAGTCATGCACGCACCTTCCTTCGACCGACTTTTGAGACGCTATACACTACCCCCAAGCCTTGTGCTTCCTTGTGCCCGGGCGCGGAGTTCGACGATGCAGAAGCCGAGGCGAAGGCACTCGGCTTCGTGTTGACAACCACCGAGACGGGCACGGCTACAGCAGAGGCAGACACCTCTTCCGTATCGTTGAACACGAACTTGCTCGTCCGCGGATGCTTCCCGCGCCTGGTTTCTCCTTTCGATCGCGGCTTCATACGCGGTACGCGGCTCCGGATCCTCGTCTGTGGGTGATACCATGCGCGCAGGTGCGACGACCTTGGGCTTTGGATCAGCAGCATGAGCGGCTGCGGGCGCAGCAGTGGCAGCAGGTTTGGCGGGAGCAGACGATGTGACGACAGGTTTCGCAAAGGTAGGAGATGCGCAACTGCCGGAAGCCCCTGCAAAA